AAGGTGAACCATCTCTGGTTGGGGTTGGGTTTCCTGAGCCATGCTCGCGAGAGGAAGGAGTTCAGAGTGAGCTGGTTCATTGCTCTAGTCCGGTGAGGTCGTGGGGTGAGGACCAAAGGATCGTGCACACAATCGATGCCATACAGGCCAACTTGAAATCCTTCACTTGGGAGCTGAAGCACACATGGGATGTGCTGAATCCTCTTGGTCTGGGGTCGGAGCTTGCTTGTGTTCTTAGGCATGCTGAGCGGGAGATAGAGGCTTTCGAAGGTTTGCTTGGACACGCAAGAAAGGAAGCCCCACCTCGAGACTTTGAACCCGCAGAGGCTTCCTTAAAGGTGCTTGGTCCCATCCGTCCAGCCACTGATGTTACAGAGGAGGGACATGTGGTTGAATGCAGCTTTCAAGACCGAGGTCAATCATCGTCAGTGTTTGTTCGAGCCATCACACAGGAGGAGTCTGGGAAGGATTCTGAAGCTGCGAGTCCGGAAATCCCTCTTCAGACCCGGACTGTTGATCTGGCCGAGGTGCTTCAGGAAGTTGCGTGTTGGATACCGTCGTGGCGCGAGGAGTACGAGTCTTTGGTTTCCATCCACAGGGCGGTGATGCCCATAGAACCTAGCATTCTGGATGAGTGGCGTCGTGCGGGTCGTAAATTCCAGATCATCCCCTCAAAATTGGTGCATACCATCAAAGCGCGAACTGGGCGCCGCAAGGCTCGCGCTGTCTGTTGCGGTAATTTTGAGACGGGGATCCATTTCGGAAAAGGGGAGACATATGCTGGAGGAATCTGTGCAACCTCGTTGCGTGCAGTATTGAGGTGCTGCGCCGCATGGGGCTGGAAGATTTCAAGCTTCGACGTAAAGACCGCCTTCTTGCAGTCGAAGCTTATAGATGCACATGACGTGCCCACAGTCGTCAAAACCCCGACCCTGTGGCGCATTCATCACATCTGTTCTGAGCGCTTCTGGCTGGTGCTGGGAGCCCTGTATGGGCTAACAATTGCACCGCGTAGTTGGTGTGAGGGGCGCGATCACACGATGTCAACTGCCAAGGCTTGTCTGTTGGACTGCGATGTCACTTTCGTCAGGCTTGAGTGTGACCCCAATATTTGGAGGGTTATCGCTACCGCTGCAGATGGCTCTGCAACCACCGTCGGTTTCGTAGTTTGGTACGTAGATGATGCATTGATCGCTGCTGAGCCCTCGTTCATTCGTCCACTCACGGAGTTTGTGTGCTCTCTGTGGAAAACTACCGCACCGGAGTATCTTGATGAGGTTGGCATTCTTTCGTATCGGGGCTTTGAGCTTGAACGTCGTGGTGAAGCCATTCTGTTGCATCAAAAATCGTTCACTGCCGAACTTCTGTTGCGATACCCAGGCCAGGAGAAGTCTGACTTGCCCATCGTTCCGAGGCCTGGGGAAGTCAACGCCCAACCTGAGGAGGCCAATCCGGCCCTCGTTCGTGAGTGCCAGCAACTTGCTGGTGAACTTCTATGGCTTATGACTTACACGCGGCCAGACATCTGCTTTGCAGTATCTGCCATGACACGTCTGTTAAGCAGCAGGCCCGAGGAGGCTAAAGCCATTGGCCACCAGATTTTGCGGTACATCCGCAAATACCCGAGCACCGGGCTCTCGTACGGGCCGCCACCTGGGGATGAGGGGCCTGAAGGGGTTTATGTTCGTCGGGTTTTGGAGGTTGCGGAAGGTATCAGTGACGCTAGCTTCGCACCCCAGGGTGGACGTTCCCACCACTGCTCGATGACACTGCTTGGAGGCGCTTTGATTACCTGGAGTTCTCAGCGCCAGGCCTTCATGACCCAATCCACGGCAGAATGTGAGTTGGTTGGGTTAGCGCATGTTTTGTCAGACCTAGAAGCCCAGAAGCCTTTGTTTGAAGCGCTGCTTGAGACGTCGGTTCAGTGTGTGTTGTATTGCGATAACAAGGCCACTATTTCGATCTGCAGCGTGCCCTTCGGGGCATGGAGGTCTCGACACCTCCATGTGCGTGCAAATGTCGTCAAGGAGAAGTTGTCCTCCGGTTGGCTGCTCCGTCACCTGCCAGGTCGGTTCATGTTGGCCGACGTCGGCACTAAGGCTTTGCAACGTGCCAGGCTGTTCGAGCTGTTAGGATATCTAGGTCTGCATATGCACGAGTGTCCCATGACCCCAAGTAATGGTCTTGATGAGGCCCGCGTTGAGTCGACTGCCGAATCTCACACTGTGCGTGCATCGCGACATCAAGAGATTCTGAAGGCTTTGCTGTTGCTAGAGGTTCTTGATAGGCTTCTTCCGGTGCATGGTAGTAAGACCAGTGAGCACACTGGTGAACTGCAGGATGGTTGGTGGCCAGACTGGACCATCTTTGTCAGCTGTTGCGTTGTAGTTGTCAGCTGGTGGTGGTTGCGTGGATGCTCATGGTTCCGACGAGCCGTGAACTCCTGGGAGGCTCCGAGCCCACCTGCTCGCGCCGCCATGACCAACAGCAACAATGTTCGACCTGCCATGACCAGCAATAATCGGCTGCAGGACGGAGCTGTGACTCGTGTGCTTTCCGCTGAGCGGCAGTCCCGGCTGTCCATCCTTGCTGTCCTTGATCTCACGCGTGTGAGGTTGCTCGTTGAGGAGTTGTGTGCTGTCGCGGAGGGTGACCTTCAATGGCAGTACTTGGGTAGAGCTTTCCTTCACGTGCGAAGGACAGACCATCATGAGGCATTGCTTGTCTCGTCTAGCGTCGTCCTTGACTCTGAGCCGCTTCATCCGGATCGTAGCTCCGCCTCGACTTCTTCTGATCCTCGCCCTGTTCATGCTCGGACCCCGCAGCTCCTGGATCCGTGGGAAGATTATGAGGCTGCGGCTACCTTTGTGGAGACTCCGAGCGCTGTTCGTCTGCAAGAGAGATACCGGGCTGCAGGTGTTGATTATGACGTAGCTTTGCTGAATGCTTGGGACTTCCGGCAGACCCAGGGTCGTCAGTATTTCGAGACTGAGATCGCGCGATGGCAGCGCACTCATTGGCCGCAGCTTGCAAACAATGAGGCTCCACAGGTGTTCCGATATGTTGATGACGTCGTCGTTGTAGGACCTGCTCAGAGGGATCCAGATGCCGAGGCCGACTCAGGACACTCCGACGTGTCCCACACCAGTTTTGATTATCAGGTAGCTTCTGCAGCAGATTTCCTTGTCCATCATGGATATGTGTTCGACTGGGAACATCAGCTCGATGAAGTTCAGCAGCGACTCTTCCATAGAATCGCTGACGATCGCCTGCGCGCTCTTCGTGAGGAACGTTGAGGCGTTTTTGGGCTTTGTTTTCACCTGTGTCTTCCCTTGAGTCTCGCGGTTACCGCCTGCAGGGATCAATCTAGTTTGTGGTTTCTTAGTTTGGGTCGTAAGCGTAGTGTGCCGCACAGCAATCGCTGGTCACCCATGTCTTTCCCGTCTTCAGTGATGGACGTGGCAGGGCCCAGTGATATCCGCCGCAGCGCTTTTTGAGATCCAGTGCATGAGTCGAGATCGTTTTCCTGTGTATGTCTCGCTTGCAGCGAGAGGGGGAGCGCAGATGTAGACTGAAGTGGAGAAGGACTCCATGTGAACAGGACGTAGGCTGAAGTGGAGAAAGCTCCATGTGAACAGCTCTGCGAAGGTCCTGGCCCCAGCGCAAGGATGACACGCAACTTGGGGGCTCTGCATTTGGCTCAAGAAAAAGAGCCGGTCCTGGGTTTGGGTTTCTCTTCAGGGCTCTTCGGGGAGGGTCGTTCTCTCGTGGGTTCTTGAGGCTTCTGAGTCCGTAGCTAGTTACTTCGGTGTAGCGGTGCCCCGGCTAGGTCCAAGGTCCCCTTTGTTAAGCCGGCGAACCCCAAACTTGAGGACTTCGGGCTCTGTGCCTCTCGGCGTCTTTTGGGGGCGAATGCAGGCGGCGCTCGTCCAGAGACATGGCAGCACAGGAGGACCCTGGAGGCCAAGTAGGGTGAAAAATCTCAGGTGTAAAGGACAGTTAAGGCTTGGGGGCTGTAGGTTTTGAGGGGATGTGGGATTTAGGGTTCAGGACTTCAAGGTGTTTGGATTTGAGGGGGCTTAGGATGTGAGGGGGTTCAGGGTTACGAGCTTAGGCGATGTAGGGCTTCTAGGGCTTACAGGGCATCGAGCTTCGGAACCGGGATCCATGGTGTTGGAGGGAGTTGGGGAAAGCTTTGGGATGACGAATAGCGGCATAGCGGCAACAATGGAAACAATACGCCCCTCAACTCCGATTTCAGGCACCCATGATCCTGATCAGGACGAGGACTCATCAGTGCGAGAGGGATACATCCGAGTTTCGGAGCCGGTATGCCAAAAGTGTCGGAGTGGAGGGGTAGTCATGCAAAAAGGGGGAGGGAATACATTGCCAAAGAGCCTCAAGGGGGTTCGGAATTTTGACCTCCATGGTCTCTGAAGCTCAGAATCTTTGAAGTTTAGAGGCCTTCCTCGAAGTTGCGTTTGGGCCGATGCTTTGTTCGTTGCGAAGTTTTTCTGGGGTCCGAAAGGAATCCGAAGAGGCGCCTCCATGTGGCCGGCTTTGGTCCGTCAAACGCTCCACAAACTTCCTGAAATCGGTCCCCCCCCTGCTGGATTGAGGCTTTAGGGTTCCCTAGGGGCTTTGCTGGGTAGTAGAAGGGGTAGTATTGAGACGACTAGGGTGTTCTGCAAGGCTCAAGGGCTGCTGCAAGGCTTCGCTACGGCGGGTTACTTACGGTAAAAGGCGAGGAGCTTCAGGGCTGGATAGGTTTCGAAGATGAAGATGAGCTGGAAACCGCCTTGAAACGTGAAGAGGACAGGGCTCCTATCGGTTCTGGGCCTTGGGGACAAGAAGAGTCTCCCACGCACCTCCCTGCCAGAGAGCAACTGTGTCTTTCTTGTCGCAACTCTAAATATGAAGAGGTGTTTCTATCGCAGGTACTGATATGCTTTGCTTGTATAGTTGATGCTGCAACTACGGCCAGTAAGCGAGCATCTGTGTTAAGTTATGAACACCTCTTCGCCTAGGCTCTCGTAGGGCAGCACCCACCGGCGTGGCCGCTGTGCGTGCGGGGCAGATGGCGGGTCCTGGGGGTCTCAAGACTCGGTGCTCCGGTGTGTTTTGAGCTCTAGGACTAGGATTCAAGGGCTCTCCATGCAGCAAATACTCATCCCAAACCCTTGACCCCTAGACGCCAATGGGGAAAGTCTCAGCCCAGCCCAACCAAAAACCTGAGCCCTAAATTTCTGAAGCTTTAGGTTGCGATCTGTAGGGTTTTCTTGGGGGATTTTAGCGGTTCAGGGCTTCAGGGGATTCGGGCTTTGGGAGTTTGGGAGTCCTGCTGGTAGATCAGCTGCCGTCTCAGGTCCACAGCGAAGATCGAGCCCACGAAAGGCGCCTCCGATCCCAGAAAGAGGAGGTAGCCATCTGACATCTTCGGTGCATGCAGTAGCCAGGCGACAGAGATGGGTATGGAGTATCTCAGCATCGGCTTCAGGGTCGCCGCATGATACTGGTCTGCAACGATCGTCTGAGACGGGGAGAAGCTGAGCATAATGATGGACCCGGTGACCTTGTCGTGCAGTACAGCCGATGCCAGGTCTACCGCCAAGCTTCCCATGACTTGCATGCTTGGGAATGAAACCAGGGCCAAGCAAGAGTTTGGCCGAGAGTTGGCACGGGAATCCCGCGGATCCCACGCAAGGACTACATCCGAGCGGTTGCCCGTGGCTGTTGCCATGGCTGCGTAGATCTGCGATGACTTCACGCAGAGTGCTCCGGTGAGCGGCGCCAGAGAGGCGACTGTGTGGCCAGCGACGAAGCGATGGCAGGCGGTGAGACCCTGTCCCTCTTTCGGTGCAAGCCCGGCTGCCCGCTGGACCGCCACCAAACAGGGCGCGGGCCCTCCGTGTCCATGGCAAGCTCGCAACGCGGAAGAGCCAACGACCAGGGACCCCACACCGCTACTCAGCTGAGGGGGCCCCTTGGCCGTCGAGGCTGTGGTGTTTATCTGAAAGTTCTCATCCGAAAAAACGGTGCTGGCCAGGCCGTTCACTGCCATCGGGGCTCCTGACTCCAGCTTCACGAACGTCGACGCGCGGCGCAGGGAGGGTGCCAGGAAGGTGGCCTCGTAGGTGTCATTGGAGAGGACAATGGGCTGGACCTCCCAGGCCAGCGGTGGCCCGTGGTCCATAATGCCACCGTGCCATCGAAGCGCCTACGAAGGGAGCGGGCAACACCTTTCGCACTCACTGGCTTTGAGCTACACTCTCTTTTCAAAAGTTTCTCGGGAATGCAGCCGCCTCGATGTATCGGTCGCGCTGCACGTGCAAGATCAGCAGGATGGAAACCAGCATCATGGCCCAGACGCACTTCCTGCTAGCACTGACGGGCAAGGGGCGTCAACTTGAGGGCAGAGACCGCTGTCGTCGGTGTATACCGCACGGGATGCTGTTGCATGCCGCACTGAAACTTGAGGAGCTTCAGTATGCTCTCCAAAACCGGAACAGATGCAATGCCCGGCATGCAGAAGCGCAAGCTGATCTGGGTTCTTGCAAAGCGCTGGCAAACGAGAGAGGGCTAGGCGGAAAGAGACAGAGAGAGAGCGAGGCAGAGACAGAGAAATGTACAAAACAAGAAGCAAGTAGGAATGCGAGCGTGAACACCGGAGACTGAGAGGGGCGAGAGAGCACACAGCCAGGCATCCAGCGAGAGCTTAGTGGGATCGTGCCGCGAAGCGGGCATCCCTTGCCCTCCTTGTCCCGTAGGTTACTAGACCCCGGAGAGCAACCTTGAAACAAACACCCCTGCACCCACATTGAGGCCTGGAGCTAGAGGTTCCGTAAGGGTCCGCCTCCACAATACCAAGCTCGGGGGGCGCCTGTGCAAGCAAAGGATATTCGAGTGGATTGAGGTTGCGTGCATCGAACATTGCCGGATGCTTCGAGCAAGGCGCAAATGTAGCACATAGGTGGACGTGCATAAATCCATCTGCAATGCTTCGTGCAGCGGCGGCTTTGCAAACGACGACTGCTATCATTCATTTACCCCTTCCTGTTCGACGCGCATATGCTGCCCTTCCCTCCGCTGTTCCAGGCTTTCTGCATGTCGTTAGCCAGGGCCCTTTGCCGCCCTTCCTTGGTAATCCCTGTGATGATGGCAACCCTCGAAATAAACTCGACCCAGGTTTCAGCCACAACCCTCAGGGGCCTGAGCACGGTTGTTCCGCCACTCGGGGTCCGCATTTCCAAATGCCACGGGCGCCACACGGAAAGGGCCCGACATGAGGGGAGGTTCTTAAGCCCTGGGGAGCAGGGCTTGGGGTTGGCTTATGGACTTCAGGCTTGTGGCTGAAGGACGCACGGCTGCACTACCTTACAGCTGCCAGCTTCTGATGTAAGCGACACTCAACGTAATGTTCGCGACAACACTCGCCGCCGCCGCAAGATAAATCCTACTAGGATAAACTGGACCGTGGAGTTTCTGTCGATACTTGTTACCATGGAATCTCTGTCGATACCGTTAATGGCGGTAGCATTCGACAAAGTATTCTAACGACCATCACCACCCCGAAAGCTTCAAGTGATACTGCTAGTTCTTCGCATCTTTGCCCGTCATGCCAATGCTACCGAGCAAGAACTCAGTTCACATTGGAGCCTAGCAATCATTATGGCCTTAGCTCGGCTTGCTGCTGCCATGACCTGCCATGGGCCCGTCAAAGCTGTCAGCCAAGCACAGCGCGTGGTGCACAACCCGGTCACGAGCCGAAAGCCCCAAAGAGACGCCCCCTTTGCCGAGCGAAGCTCCGAAGCTCCGGAAAAGCCAAGCCCCCTCAAGAAGGAAATTTGAGAGAGGAGGAGAGAAAGCGAAGAAAGTCCCCCGAAGGAGCTCCGCTTCTAAGAGCCGGGCCTTGACTTTCTTTGCAGCCCTCGGTATAGGAAAAAAAAGGCACTTGCGTGGCGGACAGGCGACTTGCGGCGGTCTTGCAGGCGTTTCTGCGCTTCTTGCTACTGCGCCGCTGTGACTGACAGTTGGACATCCTAGCCACAGCAGGATGGCTGCGTTGCTTTCAGTCTTCTTGTGCTCGCTAGGCCGCTAGGTGTTACCACTGCCGTGATGTCACACCTGCTTCAGCTCCGAGGTTCGAGGCCCTAAGCTCGGTGAAGCCTGAGTCAACAGCTTCAACGCTCCCCCAAACCCTCAAAACCCGAATGCCCCAGCTTAGCTTTTCTCGATTCGTCTCTCCTCCCCAAGAGCCTCAGTTCGGGCGGCCGGGGCACCCGGGCTTCAGCTCCTCGTTTCCCAGCATCGGATGCTTGCAGCCCGTGAAGGCGGGCGGCGACAGGTCCAGGTTGGCCTCGAAGCCAGAGGCCCCCGGAGCGAAAAAAGCCGAAGACAAGAGTCGAATAGCCCTGAAGACAAAGACTGGCCACCCGAAGCCTCTCATCGACTCATCATAGAAAGCCGTCAGAACAAAAGGGGACGATGGCACTACCAATGATGCTGCTCATGCTCATGGTGGCGACATTTAATGATGATGAGGAGGTGGAGGCGGCTCCAGGGCTTTGTACGGGTTGATGTCAAGGCCTGCAGAAGACAAGACTACAACAGTGTTGCCCGCTGAGCCAAGTCTTAGAAAGTTTGGTCGAGCTCGGGGGGGAGCTTGTGGATCATATAAACTCCTCGGGTTCTAGCGCGCTCGAAAGGCATCTCCCGGATGTGCGGCGCCGAAAAGCCCCCGAATTACGCGCCCCCTCTCCGCTCTCCTTTGGCCTCGTCGACCTTGAGCTCACCGTCCACCAAGGCCAGGTTGCACTCTTCTTCTGGAATGATCCGACTGCACCTCGCGTTGAGAAAGATATAACACATTACTCAGGAGACTGGAGGAGTGGAGTGAACGGAGAGGCGCTAGGCCACTTAGGGATTCTTGAGGTGTGTTTTTACAGTCACCGCTCCAACACAATCCCCATCAATCGTCTCTCCCCCATCTCTTGCTCCCCCCGAAAGCCAAAGAAACAGAACCAGTAAGATCTCCCCAGTCACAACTCGAAAAACACCGTGTCTCTGAGAGCAGCACAGGGGAACTTTGAAAGACATCGAGGCCTCCAGAAAGTGTTCTCTTCAGGGCTGCCGAGTTCTAAGGAGGTTTGTAGGGGGTGTGGGGTCCAGGATCGGGTTTAGAGTTTCTTGTTTGGGTCTTAAGGTTGAGACCTTTCGGGGTTGGAGAGCTCCTCCGCGAAGGTATGGTTCTTGAACTGAGCACCGGACCCAGAACCCGCCACGGCTTTTGGAACGCTGCGACATGCTGCGACTTGCAGAACAAGAGATCGTTGTTGCACGAAGAACAACTGTCGCAACAGGATGACGGCAAAAGTCACCACAGCTGATCCGCCTAGGGCTCGGCAGAGGCTTGGATCTGCTGCACCAGGTTGTCGTTTCTGTTCACGGATCTATCGAGAACGGCAGCGAAAACCCTTGTTGAGTTTGCTGCCCAGCTACCACTAGTAGTTACTTGAATCCGCAGCACATTCCTCAGACGATTAACGCATGTCGAGAGACTTGAATTCTCTACCCGGACTTTATTCGTCGAAGCATGGCACATCCATCAAAGACGCGTCCACGTGAGACCGTCTGTGACTGCGCATCTAGTTCAACGAGACTGCCCTGTTCCCACCTACCTACCGAAACCACAGCCAAAGAAATGGGTGGGATGTTCAGCGTGGAAAAACACTCCAAAATCTGTCTTTCTTCCCTTCAGCGGATGGCTGAACCCCACACCCCGACCAGCAGACCGTCATACGTGCACCCTGGTCTTAATCCCAAATACCTGCCCCCTACACACGACAATCCCCATTGCTTAGCTTGCCAGCTTCTCTGAGGATCTTGCCATCTTGGCCCTTCGCCCTGCCACGGCAGGAACAGGCCTGCCGCTGGGGTGCTAAGGCTTCTGCGATTAGGGTTTGAGATTTGCGAATAGAGTTTCTGATTTCGGGGTGTAAAGCTGAGGGGCTTATGATAAGTACACTCGTGTGTGGCAGCATCTCAGAACCCTCAACAGCCATGGTGGAACATTGACACCCAACAAGATTAGATTGTTTTAAGTTCTTGTTGCGCAACGTCTCTGAGCATATGTTTGTGAACATGTTTGGACTCCCTGAACGGGTAAATGAAAACGTTGCCGTGACTATTGAAATGCCAGCATGAAAACGCAAGCACCACTACAGAATCTCGCCCCAAAACTTAGCTAAAATCCATAACAGAACCCTTGCCCACTTTGGGATGACAATACCACCTTAGGGAAGATGGATGGGGTAATTGGTTCTTCCTATACTGGTTTTGGTAATGGGGAAGTAGCGGTGATATAGTTGGTGAGATGTTGGGAGTATAGGAATAATCCTCTTATATGGATGAAGTAATCGGTTATTCCTATACTAGGGGGGAGTATAGGAATAATCATTACGGAATAATCGTCTAATGGGCTGACGGGTGGAATTATCACCCAAAACGGGCAAGGGTTCTGCAAACTAATCCTACACCCTGGGCGGCTGCTGATCTAGGACTTTCAGGCTTGCAGACAGGCTTGGGACTCCGCGTCGCTTCTTTGAGTTCCTCATACAGTGTGGTACTCGTGAGAGGGGAGTCTTACGATGTTCAAGGTCCCCACCACCGCTCTCAGCATCTCTCAGCCATAGACACGGACAAGCCGTCTCGATACTGCAAACAAGGTACAAGCTGAGACACCTCGGACACTTGACTGGTCACCACTCCCTTTTTGAGCAGCTGCAGCAGTCGGATCCGCCACTACGGCCACTCATAAGACATCCTCAGAGGTAGGCTGACATTGCATGCAGCTTGTGGGATTGTGCCCCAACCGCGTTAAAAGGCTCACCCACCGGTGACCACCTCTCAGGCTCCCGACGGTATCCGAGCAACCCGCGTCAACAATGCTTGCGCATGTTGCGGGTCCAATGTTTTTAACCTCAGTCATCTCTGCCGGATGCAAGCCACATCCTGAATAGTATGCACATGTAAATGCAATACACAAGCCCTGAACGCCATGCACACATCATATGCATTTATCATATGTAAGCTAACTCAATATCTGCACCCATGCATGCAAAAATGCTGCAGGCATATGAATGGACATCTATATGTATATACCAGGAAGGCATGCATGCATGCATGCATGCATGTGCGTATGCACACACTGAGTCTTCAGCATCCACGGGCTGTCGTCCACTGCCACCAAGAGCTCCTCCATGGCCTCGAGCTCTCCGACTTCCGACTTCAGAAACGCCAGCCGCCGCTGAGGTTCCCAGGAGCGGAAGTTAAGGCAGGTGCCCCCTGGAAATCGGACTCGGACTCCAAGCAGTCCAGCAGCGGGAGCCTCGGAAAAGACCCGCGAAGGTGCAGAAGACAAGACCCCCCCAAGTTCATGGACTTTAGACTTTTCACCCCGCCCTTCAACCCGAAAGTCGCACGCCGCGATGAGCGAAGGAGAGTTCCCATGCAAACTCGCACACACGGCAGGAGGTTTCTTGGCGAAGAGCAGGAGAGCTCTGAGCTCCCTTTGACGATATGTAGGGTGATCCTTTTCGGGGAGAGAGTAGACCCAACTCGTAGAACTCTACTCGGCGTGATGGTCGGGTTAGAGTGTGTCCACGGTCTTGGTATTGAATGCTATGGTCGGGGGCTAAAAACCTGCTAGTGGTGTGGGTTTTGACTGTTGTCCTTGGTGCACGACGCCTTGAAGACTAGACCGCCCCTTCCAGGGCCCCAGAAGTCGATTCTCCGTCTCTGCAAACCCTCTCAAGTCTGCAGAAGTCGTAGAGCCGCCGACACCAAATCATTTACCATCTGCCACTGTGCCCAGCAGAATAGCTCACTTTCTCACTATACGGAACCTAAACAGCAGAGCCCCCCCAACCCCGGGCGTCTTCAAGGCTTCGACAGTACGCGCCAGGCCATACTCTTCCGGAGCCCATTCCAGTGGCTATCCTGCAAGACCTGAGTTCGGTAGCTCGCGAGGGAGTTAGATTCAGTTTCTATCAGGGTCTGGAGCTTGGGGTCTTGGACGGAGGGGCGAGGAGGTTAGGGTTTTAAGAGATTTGGGCAACCTTCAGCAACGCCCAGTACTGGGGCTGAAGAACTTCACAGCCCGGGGTTCAACAGGTTCGACAACGTTTGGGCACCAAGGGAATGATCGCGGCTGCGGCCTCACAGGCTTCTTTGAGGGAGACATTTAAAGCTTCCGGACAACATGTCCAGAAACTTCCCCGACCTACGGACCTATGCCTGAAACGATCAACTCCCGAGCTACCAAAGCCCGGAAAGCCCGCGGGGCCGCCCTGGCCCTCGGCCCTAGGCCCTCGCCTTGAGAGTGCGAGAAGAGAGGGCAGTTGGGGAACTGTCGCTCTTCGAGTCTGGGCCGCCGCGCGGTCTGCGTCGCCGGCAGCGGCTCCAACAAAGGCCTCTCCTTTCCGAGACCTCGGGGCCCGGCGTGTCATTATCAGCCTTTAAAAGCTCCTTTCAATGCTTCCTGCAACGGTTCCCATTGCTACGACGGCGGTGAAGGCTTCAGCGGGGTTGGAGGTTTGAGCTTCGGAGCTCCAACCTCCAAAGTCCCAACGAAAAAAAAAAACACCTAAACCTTCATGGCCTAAAGCCCAGCCCCCTAACCCCAACGTCCTAAAGCGTCAAGGTTTGTTAGGGTTTCTGAGACGCAGGATAGGGCTTCTTGGGGTTGTGCTTTCGGCCTCTTAGGAAATCCGGGCCCGGTACGGTCCCGTGCCCAATCGAAGAGAGCCTGCCGTGCAGAGCAAAAATCCGACTCCCGCTAGAGTTTAGGGTTGAGGGAACTCCCAGTGGGTTTAGGGCTTTGGGGTCCTGTGACTTGTGACTGTGAGAGGCTTAAGGTCTACATGTCGGCGTCAAGGTCGTCACAAAGTCTTTGAGTTGTTCGTGCTGGGGGAGCTTGGAGTTTCGAGACATCGGGGCCAACGCTGATGCCATCACCGGCAAAATGATAAGTTCAGCATCTCGGGCAAAGAAGTCCTGAATAACGAAGCCACGTACACACAAACGGCATGCCTTCCTCTTGTAGAATGCTGCAATGACTGTGTAGATTTTGTGAAACCTAGACCCTAAATCCAGTCCTAAGGTCCCGACTTGTTACAAACCCTGCAGACCCCAAACCCTAAACCGAGAACCCTCAAACTCTCAGGTTGAACCTCTCGCGCAGCTGCCGTCTCCAGCGTTGCCTGCTCCAGGGCACCCCAAAATCTTGGGCCCAAATCGCAAAAGAAACCTCCAAAACCTCAACCCTGAAGCCTAAACACCGGACCTAACGGCTCCCTTCGAAAACCCTCCACTACTTGGAAACGGAGCAGTGCTTCGAGAAAAGCCGGCAGCAGAAAACACAACATAGATATGACCAAAATCCAAAATCAGGAGACGGACAAATCAATCAAACGGTGATTCAATAATCATTTGTGACAAACAAGGATACGGAAAGACAAGCAACTAGAATCGAGAAATTGGAAACCCAGGAAGGGGATGCCAACAAGCCCAGTCACAACTGGGCCAGGCTTGAGCGGTTCTCTAAGTAGCGGGCAGGATGCTCGAACAAGAAAACCGACTCTCACAACAAAAGACACAGACTTAGATACCATAAAGGGCTATCATAGACTCTCACAGACACTCTACGCGGTCCTAGCGCATCTAGACTCCAACATCCTCCCCTCTTTTCACCCGATCCGGGGCGCCGCTGCCTTCTCCGCCTCTGCGGCGTGACCCACCCCAGGGCCGGGGCGCACGGCCTCAGCTGCAGAGCATCCGGGGGGCTGCTTTTTCGGAGTTCGGGGCCTCTGCTCCCCAAAAACTAGCATTCAAAGCCTCCGACGCCGACTTCCCCAACTCTTCGACCCCTTTTTTTCTGGGCTTCCGGCGCCCCCGAAGTGCGAGAGCTTCGGGGCCTCGGACGCGCGCAGCTCCTTGGAGGCCTGGCTCGGGAAAAAGGCGAAGGAGCGCCCAAAAAGGAGGGGACTCAGAAAAGTTGGGGGTTTCGGACGGGCCTTTTGGTGCCAAAGGGATCTGCGAAGTTGAAGTTTCGGGCGAAAAAACCGATCAAGGGAGCTTCGCAGAAGTGATCAGACCTCAGTCAGAACTCTGGTTCCCGTACTTATAACTTATAAGCATGCTTCCTAAGTTACTAAGCCCCATTCCCAGCATCCTCTAAACGGAGAAGCTGTGGATGTACAAACTCCTGCACCTTAGGGTTTGGGGTTGAGGCTCTTTCGATTTAGGGTTTGGGGGCCCTAAACGATGGCGTGGTGAGTTCCTGACTTTTGATAGGGCTGGCCGCGGGTCGCAATCTCAGGGTTCGCGGGGTACTCCGGGCTTAGGTTGTGGCAAAGACGATCATTAGAATGAGAATGAGAATGACCGCTAAAGAGCCTATCAATGCCACAAGTGCGTGCATTGCTGTCATGACTATTTATTGCTGTTGCAGCCACCACTAGGAAAGCTACAGCGTGCTGAGGGTCAGGGTCCAAGAAAAACAGATCACACCAAGAACAGTGTACTGGACAACCATAAGCTCCCGGTTGTACAGAAGCTCGAACATGTAGCATACCGCTACAAAAGCCATCACACCATCTAACACTCAGTTAACTGACGAAGGCTTGGCAATTCCCGTGAGGCCTGAGAACCCCAAGAAAATCAAGATTCGGGAGCAAATCTTAACACATGTTCAATGTGCTCGGCTAGTGATCGTAGGCAGGTTTACACTACGTCACTACGTAATTGAGGGATGGAATTCGGAGCTTGGTCCCACCCAAGACCCAAACCTGCAACTCTGAACCAAAAGCCTAAAACCTTGAGCCCTATCTCAATATTCCGATTCTGAACCCCGACTTGTCCCCGCCTCTCGCCAAGCCTCTTTCCAAAGGTTGTGCTTCACATACCTGAGCTGGCCGTGTGCATCTCTCAGAACCGTTGTGGTTGGTGTAAGGGTTGCCCTTTCGGCGCTGGTTCGTGCTTCAGGCTCAAAGCCTTCAGATAATGTTCCGTTACGACTACGATCAAATTTTAATGACAGTTACTATGACTATAATGTAAGAGTGGATTTATTAAACCGGGTGACAATTAAAATATTCCCCGGGCCAGAATTTCCGGGCGCAAGAGGAGTTTAAAGGCGTGGGCAGATTTGGCCAAACAACTGATCATAATTTTCCAGTCGCAATAATAAACGGGGTGACAATTAAAATATTCGGGCTCCGAAATCCCCAAAATTCGAGAGGTGTCACGAGTGGGGTTTTTCGAACTCGAATCTTTGAGAGTTTGAACGTAGTACATGTTGGACGGGATTCGAGAGTTTGAAAGTTTGAAAAGTTTGGAGAATGAAGAGTTTGAAGTTTGAAAGTTTGAGAGTTTCGAGTTCGAAAGCGGGCGCGAGTTTGGAGTTTGAAAATTTGAAACCCAGGAAGTTTGAAAGTTTGAAGCTTCGAAGATTGAAAGTTCGAAAGTTTGAAAAGGAGAAGGACCGCTGGAGACGCGTAGGGGTTCACAGAGCAGCCCTCAGGCTCGAGTTCGAAAGTTTGAGAGCTTGGAGTTTGAAAGTTTGAAACCCAGGAAGTTTGAAAGTTTCAAAGTTCGAAAGCTTCGAAGATTGAAATTTCCAAAATTTCAAACTTTGGGGGGTTGCAGGCTTGAAGTTTTGAAATTTCGACAGTTGAAAGTTTGAGAGCCGTGGAGTTCGAAAGTTTGAGATGTTCAAAGTTTGAGAGTTTGGGAGTTTGAAGGTTTGTAAGTTTGAAGAGTTTGAAGTTTGAATACATTGAAAGTTTGATTTTGAAACCATGTTGACGTCCTCATTTTAGGCTCTGGGCCCGGTAACTCCGAGTCCGATTCAATAGCCCGGGACCCCCCTGGGCGACAGGTAGTCCTGGATTTAGGAAGAGTATGAAGGTGGGGAGGGGTTGTAGTTCTGGATTTAGGAAGACCATGGGGGGGCGGGGGGGGGGCCGGGCTTGGAGTCTTCGGGGAACCCCACCGCTCTGTTTAGACTGCAAACGCCCCGCTCTGTTAAGCCGAGAAAAACTTAATGAAAGCGTCTCCCACTTCATACTTCACCAAAAACCAAGATTACGGGCCCCCCCAACCTCATACTTCGTCCAAATCCAAGACTTCGAGCCTCCCCCTTCCCCTTACAGTCTTCCTACAACCAAGATGTTAAGCCCCCCTTTCTCCAACACAGGCAAAGGAGAAAGCAACACGAGAACACTTCAGGGGTTTAAACGCGAAGAATTAAAATTCATCATGAGTGATTAAGAAGCTGTGCAAATGGGGGTGCTCTCTTAAGATCCCCCTCCCCTGATACGTCGTCCAAATCTAAGACGTCGAGGCGTCCCCTTACAGTCTTCCTCAATCCATGACTTTAAGCCCCACCTTTCTCCAGCACACACAAAGGAGAAAGCAACACAAAAATGCTTCAGGGGGCTAAACGCGAAGAACAAAACTTAAGCATGAATGATTTGGAAGCTCTGAAAGGGGGGGGGGGCTGCGCCCCCCCAACCCCCCAACTTGTTTTGGACTGCAAACTCCCTGCTCTGTTAAGCCGCGAAAAAAATAAAACGTAACCCCCTTCATACATCACCAAAAACCAAAGTACGAGCCCCGCCCCCTCATACTTCGTTCAAATCCAAGACTCGAGCCCCCCCCAGTCTCCAACACACACAAGGGAGAAAGCACACGAAAACGCTTCAGGTGGATTAGAAGCGAAGAAGACATCATGAATCATGAGTGATTTTGAACCTCTGCAGATGAGGGAGGGGGCTCTGCGCCCCCCCAACCCCCCCCTCCCCCCCTCCGCTTATTTTAGACTGCAAGCGTACTTCACCCAAAACCCCCCTTCTTTCATGAATGATGTGGAAACTCTGCAAATGGGGGGGCTGCGCCCCCCCCCCCAACCCCCAGCTGTTGTGAGACTGCAAACTTCCTGCTCTCTTAAGCCGCGTTTTCTCCAACACACACAAACGAAAAAAAAACAGACGAAAACGCTTCAGGGGGGTTAAAGACGAAGAAAAGAGCATTATGATCATGAGTGATTTGGAAGGTGATTTGGACGACTAGGTACTTCACCCAACCCCAGTGATTTGGAGGACTACTTACTTCACCCAACCCCCTCTCTCATGCTTCGCCCAAACCCAAAACTACAAGGCCTCCCTATCATACTTCTTCGCCCATGATTTCCCCCCCCCCCCGACTAGTACCACTGATCGCCTGGAAACGTCTTCTCCAAGACACGCAAAGCAGAAAGCCGCACGAAAACACTTCAGGGGGTTTAAAAGCGAAGAAAAGATCATAATAATCATGAGTGATTTGGAAAGTGATTTGGAAGGTGATTTGGAGGACTACGTACTTCACCCAACCCCAGTGATTTGGAGGACTACATACTTCACCCAACCCCCTCTCTCATACTTCGCCCAGATCCAACACTACAAAGCCCCCCTATCATATTTCACCCATGAGCCCCTCGCCACCACCCCCGAATAGTACCACTAGTCGCCGGGAAAAGTCTTCTCCAAGACACACAAAGGAGAAAGCCACACGAAAACGCATCGGGGGGTTAAAAGCGAAAATAATATTCATGTTGGGTGGTTCTGAAGCTTTGCAAATGGAGGGGGAGGGGGTGGATGCGCTTTTAGACAGCAAACTCCCCGTTTGTTTAAGCCGCGAAGAAATGAACCAAAACGTCCTTTGGGCGTGCTTGAGATATACTAGAATCGCCAAAAGAGAAGGCGTGTGTAAGATGTGAAATTAACCGAAAGCGCCAAATGAGTAAGCGTAATACGACAATACGATGACCCGGAAAAGCTAAATGAGGGGTGTGCTTAAGATCGCCAACTCAAGGGGTGCGTTTAAGTTACACGGTGTGCTGGAATCGCCCAATGGGAGCGTAATTAAGATATGTGGTGAGGGGCTATGATGACCGGAATCGCAAAATGAGGGCGAAGTGAACCGGAATCGCCAACAAAGAAGGCGTGTTTGTTCAAGATACTTAATTGAGGTTGCGAACAACACCCATATACGTGACCGCATGTCGAGCGCTTCAAACTCTGAAACTTTTCAAACTCGAACTTTCAAACTGTCAAACTCTCGAACTTTCAAGCTCGAAACTCAGCGGACTTTCAAACTTTGCATCTCGACGCGCTTCAAACCTTCAAACTTTGCAAACTTTCAATCTTTCGAACTCTCAAACTCGCGAACTTTCATCCCTTTCAAACTTTCGATCTCTGAAACTTTCAAACCTTCGAACATGAAACCTTTCGAATTTTGAAACCTTCGAACTTTCAAACTCGTCACCTCAGCCCAAGCTGAAGAGGAAATCTGAAGCCAACCTTTCAAACTCCGAACTTTCGAACTTTCAAACTTTCGAACTTTCTAACTTTCGAGCTTTCAAACTTTCGAACGTTCGAACTTTCAAAGTTTGAAACCGTCGAACCTTCGAATTTGCAAACTTTCAAAGTCTCGAACTCTCAAACTTCGAAGGCCGATCGAACTCGCCCGCGGGAAAAGTTTGAAGTTTGAGTTTCAAGCAGCCAGTCGAGCTCGAAAGTTCGAGAGTTTGAAAGCTTGAAAGTTTGAAAGTTTCGAGTTCGAAAAGTTCGAAGTTTGACCGCGGCTAGCTTGTGCACACCAAGGTGCACAAACTTTCGAACTCCAGCACTTTTCGAACCTTCAAACCTTCAAAGTTTGAAACTTTCAAACTTCAACCTCCAAACTCTCAAACTTTCAAACCTTCGAGTTCGAACGACCTCGCTCGCGACACCATTCCCAAAATTCTACAGACAAGGCTACGTATTTAATTACTACTATTACTACTATTAATACTATTAATACTATTAATACTATTAGTACTATTACTACTATTACTATTATTACTACTATTACTACTATTACTACTATTACTACTAATTACTATTACTACTAGTATACTAGGCCCGGAGAAGGCCAGAGGTTTACTATTGCCACCCTGACCCCAGACCCTGCCCCAAGAGACCCCCGCGCAAAACAACCTCAGGGGGGGGGGGATTTATTAAAACCACTCCAACATTAGTGACAATACCACCATCACAATGACCATCACCATCTCCAAGACGATTAGCGTCACCATAGCCCGTACTCATATGTTACTCTCATGGTTACCAGCTCCTAGAAGTAGCTCCCGAGCTACTTCTGTTTGAGGCTGTCTTAGGCTGCCTTCTACTTCCGACGGGAGCCTTGCAGACCTCCGGAGCGCCTCCCCGAAGCCAAAAGCTGACATCCCCCCAGCTCGGGAGCCCCCCGAGATCGAAGAGCGCCTCCCTTTTAGGAGGAACCCCAACATATCCCCTCTGTGCCGAGTCGTGCTTCCGGCACTCCGGAAGTCCTCATCTTTGAAAGGGCGACAGTCAAGACTGAAATCACCGGACCTGACATCCCCTCTACTGATACTGTCACCAATAGGGTTTAGGGTTGAACCTTGAACTTGGGGTCACGGAATCCCAGAACCGCAGCCGCCAAACCCCAAACCCACACCCCACTGCTTGGAGTTCGAGTTGTTTGTAGGTGTACTTCGAATAGGAGCAGAGCTATCTACTGGCCGGGATGGAACTACATCAGAAACCCTTCTAAAGCGGGAACTCCGGAAAAAACTCCAGAACTCCAAGCCGAGACCTTCAACCCCCTAAGCCCCAAACCTTAGCACAAAACGCTAAGCTCCACGCTTTCCCCCGCCCCCCGCCCACTGCCTCCCAACTCTCCGAGCTGCAAAAGCAGGAACCACTCGAGGTCGCTGAGGTTCACGGTGCTGGCCGCCGCCGAGTGGAAGGCATCGGTCCAGAGCGCAGAAGCCTCTCTCAGATCGGTCTTTACAAGGTCTATACATGTACACATATGTATATTGTAGTGTGTGTGTGTGTGAATAATAAGCACACAAATATGAATAGATCAGTAGATAAATAAGTCGAGAGAAACAGAAACAGAAAGAGAGAGAGAGAGAGAGAGACTTTACTAGTGGGCTTTAAAAAACTCATAGAGCTTCATGAGGAAGCTGAAACCCCAACCCTGTGCTGGCGGCACACGAAAACATCGAATCTGTTGTGGTTCCTTTGGTGACGAAGTTACTGCTTCTTCGAGCATTACCACACTGCCATGTCTTCACGGTACAATTTCAAGCAAAGTAGTTCATGAATAGAGCCTGCAGGGCCGGAAGCAGCGGAAGCGCGATCAGCGGGTCCTCGGCATATGGAGAGAGAGAGAGAGAGAGAGAGAGAGAGAGAGAGAGAGAGAAGAGAGAGAGAGAGAAGAGAGAGAGAGAGAGAAGAGAGAGAAGAGAAAGAGAGAGAGAGAGAGAAGAGAGAGAGAAGAGAGAGAGAGAAGAGAGAGAGAGAGAAGAGAGAGAGAGAAAAGAGAGAGAGAGAGAGAGAGAGCGAGAGAGAGAGAGAGAGAGAAGAGAGAGAGAGAAGAGAGAGAGAAGAGAGAGAGAGAAAAGAGAGAGAAAAGAGAGAGAGAGAGAGCGAGAGAGAGAGAGAGAAGAGAGAGAGAAGAGAGAGAGAAGAGAGAGAGAGAGAGAAGAGAGAGAGAGAGAGAAGAGAGAGAGAAGAGAGAGAGAAAAGAGAGAGAGAGAGAGCGAGAGAGAGAGAGAGAGAGAGAAGAGAGGGAGAAGAGAGAGAGAAAAGAGAGAGAGAGAGAGAGCGAGAGAGAGAGAGAGATAGAGAGAGTAAGTTACATATATATATATATGTATAGCACCCGAAGCCCAAAATCTTACAGCACGACCCCAAACCCCTAGAACTCAAACCTTTCTGTAATTGCCTCAACCCTCTAGGAGCTTCCAAGTCTGAAGTCATTCCTACTTGGAGGTTAGGGGTACCCGCACCAGCCTTTAGCTAGTCTTGCTAGAGCCCGAGGATAACCTCAACTTTAGGCCCCTCGAATCTCCGAGTGGATTGACCTAGGTGATCCCCCGCTCCAAACACCCCTGCCAAGCAGCTTTGGAGGACAGGCAGATCAAGGTGTCCGTCAGCAAAGGCCTTGCTGCTCCGTGCCGATTGGGCCGTCGGGTTCAGTGCTCAGCACTGTTCTCATTGTTCTCATTTGTTCAGAACACCTTTTTGTCGTAAAGCTAAACACAAGCCCACATTTGGCTCAGTATGCTCAGTGGGGCAATTGGATAATCGGATAACACTCCTTTCAGAATACCATAAGGGTTTAGGGTCCCTTTTAAATTTTGGTGGCTCCTTTAAGGGTACCATGAGGGTATTCCCAAATTGCGAGCCGGAACACACAACGACTCCGTCCAGGGCAGCACGCAAGAACCTCTGCCGGCCTTCGCCTCGCAGAGAGAAAGAAGGAAAGGGTTCAGGGAAGTTCAGGGTTTAGCTAGGGGTTAGGGTTTAGAACTCCCTCAAAAAGCTCTGTGTCACAAAGCTGGCAGGGAAGAGGTCAGGAAGTCGCAACGTCAAACGATTGAAGATGTAGCTACATCAAAATCTTCGCAGAGGATGCTTTTCGGTGACACGGTCCGGCAAGCGAAACGTCGGGTGAAACTGCAGGGCCAAGAACACTGGAACCGTGCAGCTTACATGACAGTTGACCCTGTTCGGCGTGGTCGAGTTTATGGCGGTATTTGTGCAAGTCAAGGCTTCTTCCATTATGGCAGCTACAACATACGAGTTCGCTCAATTCCGTGCATGGGGTCGGAATGATCGCTGATGCATGCCACTGTTCTTTCTAGTCCCGCACTTGTGGCGATCGCCTTCTATGTACACGGGAAGCGACCCCAATCCTAAAGCCTAAAGCATCCCGTCATGAGAACTCGTCGAAGCTCACATCTGCCAGCTGCAGCATCGGGAAGGGCCTGCTGTGCCCTGGCAGGACAATCGCGGCTCTAGCAGTTTAGGGTTTCGGGCGTTAGGGTTTTGGGAGGTTTCAATTCTTTTCCGGCTTTTGATTTCAAGCCAATGCTGTAGGGTTTCACAGCATAGGATGTAGGCGGTCGTCGCTTGGTTTATAAACCCAGTCCGTATGTTATATAGGGGAAATCCTTTGTATTTCTCAATGTTATGGGTGTTATATCAACACCGCAAACACAACTTTACTTTGGCACTGCTCCATCCGGAGCTGCTGAACCCTAAATCCTAAACCCTAGATCCTCCGTCCTACCGAAACTTTAAACCGTAAAACCTAAACCGAAAAAAGACCAGCAGCAGCAGCAGCAGCGGTAGTCCATGGCAAGACGCAAACAAACAAACAAAAAACACCTCTGAAACTTCCTGGGAGATCCTACAAGTTAAGGAAATAAATTTATAGGTTGATATAGGCGCCTAGACAATGAAAACCACCTTTTGAGTCACAAATGGACTTTGCAGCAATAGTATTGATTTGCCATGAGGCTCCGCAATCACAGCCCCAAACCTTCAGCCAACGCTAACCCCCCTTGCCGCCGAACGACTCCCGCAACACCCTTCAAGCAGGAAAAGTACCTTTCATCGAGCATCTGGTCTGCTTTCTACTAAGACCCCCTATGGAGCCCGAAGCCGCAATGGCACTAATGGCACTAAGGAGGCCTTCGCGCAGGGGGAAGAGCTTGGGGTTCGACGTGTGCAGAATGTCCTGTGGCTGCGTTTCGAGGCTTCGGGGCACCAGATGTCGTTGTTTTTCCATTTTGGGCCTCGCCTCTTGGGATTCAGTTCGGAGGTTCGGAGGTTGAGGGTTGAGCCGGTTGGACTCGCTCGTGTCTGGCAGTGGGGGGCTCGAGACTTTCGGCACTTCTGGCTTTGGGCTTGAGTACGGAAAGAGGGGTCTTTTGTGGTTGAAACTTAAGCTTGAGGGCAGGGGGCATAGAGTTTAGGACGACGACTGTCTGGGTTTGCGTTTCAAGTGTGGGTTTTGGGGTTCTTGCTTTCAGATTCTGGACTTGGGCTTTGGAGTTCGGATACTCTGGACAGGACCTTGCAAGCTTTGTGCAGGGTTTCAGGGCGTTGTTATGTCCTTGCCAGAAGCACGGAGTCATCGGCGAAGCCAAAGACTTTAAATTTGTCTTGGTGGAGATTGAGTCACAAAGGATCCGCCAACAGCTGGCAGCTAGTCAAGAACGTACCACTTTGCAGAACAAGACACATCCCGGCTTTCCGAATCAATGCGAGACCTCGTGCATGAAGAGGTCATCGCCCTCGTAATACTCATCACCTCAGACGGCTCATTGCTGCTCAAGGCCAGCAACCCTTGCGACGGTAGTGTGCATTGACCTTCAGTAGAAGCCTCAACAAGAAGTAGATTCCTGCAGATTGGGGTTCTTTTTTTAAAGTTGATGTGCACCCTTTCTCCAAGAGGCGCTGGCATTTTGCCCTCAACTGTGAAACTAAACACCCATCGTAGACGTCCTTGTAGTACTCACCGATGTCGTATCCATAGGGGTGAAGCATGTAGTACTCGCCGATGTCACATCCATAGGGGCTTCACCATCTTCATCACAGTCACGTTCACCCCCAGCTGGCGTAGCCAGAGAGGACACCCCAGGCCTCTCAACTGGGGTTCAGGCCTCCACGTTTCGAGTTGCGTCGCCATCCCGGAGACCCCGCGGGCACTGCGCCCCGATTAGGGTTATAAGTAGGATAACTACAGTTATAACCCATATTAGTGAACTTATAACCCCACTTATAACTACCCATGAGCCTTTTCTTGAAGTCCCAAACCCTTGAAATCAGGCAAGGCTTTGCAATCCTCCGAACCTCACAGAACTTATGACAACAGCCAAAGGTTCACACAAAAATTTCGAAGGTGCAGCTTAGAAAGGGGAAAAGCCTCGAAAAGCCCAAAGAGAGCTACTTTGCTTATTGTTAGCTCAGCTTCGCCTCGGCCTCGGCCCCCCCTTCCTGGGGGGCGCTCTCGAGGCTTCCCTCCCTCCGGCCCTTTGGAACCTCTCCTCCCGGCGGGGCCCCAAACTCTTCGTCAAACGCGCTCTCTCTCACGGGCCCATAAGCGTTCACAGCACTCCCAGCATGATGCAACTTGAACGGCCAACAGAAACGGCCCCAAACGGGCCGGGCCCCCGGGCGGACGCCCAGCAGCTCTGCGGGCGGCCGCAGCGCCGGCAGCGAGGCGCTGGGGCGGAGGAGGCCTCTCGGCTAGCAGAGCTCGAGGATTAGAGCTTGGGAGCTGAGGTGTTTGGGTGGAAGGGTCCGGGGCTCAAGGGCTCCGAGATCTTTCGGGCTCCACCCTGGGACATGATGTGATGACTCTTGTGCTGTTGCGGTGGGGCTCTGACAAGGTCTTCATGCTGCTTTCACAGTCGCTGAAAGGCAACCCGAACCCTGCAGTCTAAACCCGAAAATGTACACCCTATATAACAAAACCCCCGGCCTCCAATGCCAGCACGGCCGCGCCGGGCACCACCTACCGGAATCCATAACGCCAAACGATTACAGTAACAGTCAGAAATGTGTTCTTACCTCATCAAAAGCGTGGTCATAGTGAACTACTTGCAAACGTGGACAACTTCCTTTCCAACGACGGCTACAACTGGTGTAGGTATCTGGAAAATGATGCGGCATCTAGTAACAGAAAGCCTTGCAAGAAGTCCAACTCCTAAACCACAAACCCTGGAACACGAGGCTTGAACCCTGAACCCTGCACATGAAATACTCATGCAGAACACAGTATCATTCCTACGGCGGTCCTCTGGATTCTTGTTGGCTCGTTGTCAATATTTGAGAAAGATCAGCACGTAGACCCCTCATGCCCGCAAGCGCTGACATGGCCTGATCTCGTGGGCTCGGCGGCAGGTGGCGGGGGAGAATGCTTGGGAGGGGGCGGCGCCTCGCAAGCAAAGAGCAGGATCTGGAGCTTTTGAGGAAGCTTTCTGACTCTATGGGCGTCTTCTTCCTCCCAAGGCTTCTAGCACGACAGTTGAAGGGAAAGTAACCTACATGTCACCACCCCTGGACTAAAGCACACTGAAAAGCAAATCGCTGGCTGAAGCTTAGAAGACAGAACTCGGCCGGGTCGAGACTGGGATGTTCGGACTGTGATCGCAAAATGCAGGTTTGCTACTCATCCGTCAACGACGATGACGTACGGAAACGACCACCGCCGCTGTCACCTGTACCAACATGACGACGACAGAACGACTCAGCGCTGACTACTCTTACTTATGCTATCGCACCCCGACTGCCAAGATTACGATGACAGTGACTCCACTATGACAGAAAAAAGCAGGCATTGACCGGAATTGCAAATGTCATGACATCGCATACTGAAGAATGTGGCGGCATGTCACGCATGCAGCAGCGTGCAACGAGTTAAGCTGCCACTGTGCGCTTGCATCACTCGGTAACTGTCACCCCACTGCTCATCACCACGGCCGTCGTGCCATCAACTCCATGTCTTCAGTCAACAAGTTCTGCGCATGGCTTGTGACACCATTTCGATTCCTACAATCCTAGAAGTAGCACGGCAGGACATGTTAGAAAGCAAGTAACGCACGGGCCGGGGATCGACGTATCGGTGTATGTCGCTTCTCCCGGCCCCCCGCTGCATTTGCAATGCGACATGGTGGGATCTTCAGTCTTAGGACCACAACCTCCTTCGTTGCACAAAGCATCTCAAAAGCCCATCCACATGTCCAAGCGGCCGCCGCAGGCCGCGGTTTCTGCGGGCCAGTCCTTCTGCCGAAGTGCAGACTAAGGTCCAAGGCTTACGGCTCAAGTTATACCAGCACTGGCACAAGCATACAACGCTGTTTGGGATTTCACGCGTCCGGGGTGGAACTTTGCAGAAAAAGAAAGGCATGCTCATGATGTTCAGGGTTTTTAGGTTCAGTATCTGGTCGCACCTATTTCCGAAGCGTTCTCCCACACGAGGTCTCCTGCGCCACCCCGCCGGCGGCAGCTTCGGTGCAGGCGCGATCACCCTGTCGAAAACCGAAAGCTGGCGACAAAAAGGGGCCAGGGCGCATGTAACATGTTGCGTTTTCGGCGTCTCGGCTTTGGGATGAGAATTTGCGGCCTAGCGTCGAAAAAAGCTTCGAGGATCCAGAAAGGGGATTTCATCTAGCTTGAGGGTCCGGGAGTCCGGGTCGTCCGGCGGTCATGAGTTAACTTCAGTTCTTCCGGCGGCGGCCGCGGCCTCCCTCGACCCGACCAAGACCCTGACTTCAGCAAGATGCCTCCACTCAAGTTTCAAGGATCTCCTGAGTTGCCGCCCGGGACTAAGGATCGCCAGAAATTGCAGGACCGAGCTGCGGCAGATCGCAAGGAGCGGGCGAAGGCGGCCAGTCCTAGAGATGGGGGACGGCAGCTATTGAGCTCACGGTTTAGGCCTCAGGGTATATAGCAGACAGGTCTGGGAAGGATTGCTGCAACGATTGCTCAGCTCCGCGTGAAACCCTTAAAGAAAAAACCCTGAAAGTGATCGGGTTTAGGCCCTATGCGGCTATGAGGGGTTTGAGGTCGGGTTTGGAGTTTGGGGCTAGGACCGAGGTTTGGTGTTTCCGGCAGAGGGTCAGGAAGGCTCCTTCGGCGAAAGGAAGCCTCCTGTGCTGTCTGTTGCGAGTTCGCGTTTCGCTGCTTTTTTTGTTCCCGGGAGTGCTCAGGGCTCTCTGAAGGCTTCCGGTCTCCGGTGTAGCTGGGCCTCAAGGGGCTTCAGACGCACGCGGAGCCTCAGAGCAGGTCCTCTGAAAGCAGAAGACATAAGAGTCACAAGAACCGCACGGTTCTCGTCCTGAAAATACTCAGAGCTTTGGATGTCATTGTAGTGAAAAATGGTACAATCGCGATGGCGGGAATACCGAGACTGTGACGACGACCCTGCTGATGATGGTCATGCACGTTTTTCGAAATGGCAGGCGTCTGCGTTGCACTACCACCCAGCCCCGAAACCTTCAGACATGCCAGATGCCACATCCGCCTCTTCCTCATCCGATGAAGCAAGCGCAGGCTCGGATTGATCTTCGGAGCGCAGGTTTTGGTGGCGTTTTGAGGACCAGGAGTAAGGGCTCTGGGGCCATTTGTCTTTTCTTTCGGTCTTGGGACTCTTTGGGATTTCAGGCTTTGGGCTTTCGGCTTACGGGTTCGGGGCTCTGCACACTCGTAACGAAACCCTTCTTCAGAGAACCAGAGTATAGCACAAAGCAACGCCGTATTCAAAATCCAAAAAGACGCCTTTCAAGAACCCTAAACCCCCTCTGTTTGTGTTGACTCAATCCTTCCATGATTCCTGATGCCCGACACCCGGAGCCATCTGAACGCAGGCCTGTCTCGGTCTTCAGAGACCTAAGTGTTTCGGATCACCCAGAGCTTTTCGGCTTTAGGTTTGGGCTTTAGGACCAGACACAGCAAGGGTGTACGATCTAGTAGTACCGATTGTTGGAAACTGCCACATTGCTTCATGTAACAGCACGAGCCAGCACTTGCTGTAATTTTTAGAGCTCCGAAAGGCCAAGCAGCATCAACTTCCCCGCCACGCGCGCGATGGCCAAAGGGGAGCCTGGGAGAAGCGAGCAGCAACGAAGTCAGCTGAGCGTTTTCTAAGACTGCTCAGAGACAAGAAGATGGAGAGAAGGAAACAGGGGAGGCCGAGAGAGAGAGAGAGAGGAGAACCAACAGAGAGGCAGAAACGCATAAATATGTGCCTGTATTGAAAGATATTACATATATATTTTTCTATAGTATATTATAGCAGTTCATATTATACTATGATGTATCATATTATATGACATTATAATGCTATTCTTTGTTGTAGATGACTACAATATATTGCACGATAACATTTTATGTTACATTACAGTATGTTGTAATACTATAGTATATTATGTCACAATTGTATAGTATGGTTTCTTCTACTAGAACAGATGCGTATACATGTACACACATATGTGCATGAACTCTCACACACGCACACACACACACACACAAACACACACACTCTCCTCGCTCACTCACTCACTCACAATTACTTTCTTAGATACAGACTTGGTGCTCTTTTCGTGTATATGTGTCTGTATATATGTCGGCGAGCCGGCAGGGGCCAGGCAGAAGCGGCATTCTTTGGGCCGGCGCACCAGGCGCCGAAGCTCGGCGGAGCTGCTGCAGCTCTTGCTCCATGATCTCGGACTGCGAGAGGCCTCTCAGATGAGGGTTCCTTCGCTCCTTCTGCTTTGCCTGTGGCCCCACAAACTGCCTCGTGGGTTGTTGATAAAGTTCTTGCCGTGCAATGAACACTACCATTTCATGATTGCTCTCCTTGCCGTCGTCGCCGACTCGTCAGCATCGCCGTTGTCTCGCACGACTTGCAAAAGAAGAAACATACAAATGATCCCAAGGCGTCGCAACGGAAATGCCTGTACTGATAATACCAAAAGCACATAGTGCAAACATGCTGAACAACAAGCTTGGGCGACAGCCCCACTGCCTGCGACGGCTTTCTCACCTGGGCACGCAAGATAACTGTGCAAGCAGAGGTCTGCGAGCGTCGTCGGTCAGGTCAACATGACGGTGATGAGGGTGCGGATGATGATGTCAATGACGAAGAGATATTGCCGCCAGGTGTTTAGAGTCTGAAGCTTCGAGATTCAGGGTTTCGGGTTGAAGCGTTCTGGCTTCAATGGCTGTCGTAGAGGAGCTTGGAAGATCATGACAAAGGTAACGATGGCCTGCTACAGGGATCTCCAACATGACAGTATCAGTAGCGTTGTGGGGCATATTATACTACCGTTATCACCGTAAGGGTTACCAATACATCACGAAAACCCGCTAATTCCAATTCCTATATCACATGGCATAAGCCGAGCGGCGCCGAGCTTCGGCATCTTCCGCCTCCTCTTTGCCTTCTCAGGTTAGCGTGATGTAGGGCCGTTCAGGGTGCCGGGTCTAGGCTGTTCTGTGAGGAGTTTAGGGTTTCCGCTTGACTTTGCTGAATGGAAAGCATTTGCAAACCCACCATCGCCAATACATTCACGTCAGAATAAGGAACTAAAAATACACTCACTTCACAATACACTTGCATATTGCCGGTACTTCTGCCCACAAGTGAGCGAGCTTCGTGAATTCCCATTTTCAACATGGCGCATTTGTCGCGGTGCAGCAGTAGCATCCACACACCCACCACCCAACCACTCCAAACTCAACATCGCCACCACAGCAACAAACAACAACAAGGAAGGCGTTGCGTCTGCCGCCGCGCGGGGTGTGTCGTTTATCTTTGGGAGGTTTTTGGTCAAAAGCGATAAAAACCCTGAGTTTTGCGCGGTTTTCGTCAACAAGACGATGTATCGGAGTTTAAAAAATTCTATAGTTATTTGTCTTGTCTGTTGGTGAGGTTTTTGCGGAAGTGCTGCAAATACCATGCTTTTCGTCTTCGATTTATGTTGATTTTTAGGCTCACTTGGGAAGTTTTTGTTTGGAAAGCTTCAAAATCGAGGTTTTTGGGTGGTGGACGTTTCCAAAGTGAAGCAACAAGAAACGGCAAGCACGATTTGACAGAGCAACTGGTGGCGTTTGAGAAGTAACACAACCACAGAAACAGAAGACACAAGCCGCATTCGCATGGACGTCATCACCCCCCCATCCCCCCCACCCCCGCACAGAGCTGAAAGACAAATTGCAAGTTTAAGCTGGCATGTACACAAAGTCGAGAATCGGCAGAAACACCGTAAAAACCAATGCGAAATGCGACAGGGTGCCATCTGAATAAGCACGTTTTCGTTTAGGGCCTACCTAGACCCAACTCCGACCCCCCCCCCCCCCAGGAAGCACGTTCTCACTTGGGCCTACCTAGACACCCCCCACCCACAGAACAATGAAAAGACAACAGCCATAATTGTGGCCCATAAAACCCCCGAAGCTTTGCTAAAGCCTTTACCAACAACTCGTGGACGCCAGCTCGACGCACGCCCGCGACACGCAGCACTTGACAGTAAATCTGCTCGCACAAACTGTGCATTCCAGCTACAACAAACGGTCGCTTTGGCGACGTTGCTGTCGTGAAACGGACCTTGAACAGCCTCTCCATGACGAAACCTTCATCTCAAGTGTACAGTGTATACTGCGCTAGACGTCGCGGAGCGGCAGAGCGATGCGGAGCAGTCACCACATGTGGTTTTCACACAGGTTCTCTTTGCCGCTCCAGGGGTTGCTCGCAGAAATACTCCAGGCACGTGGCATGACCTGCAGGATTCCAATAGTATAGTGGCAGACGAATCGCTGAGTCACTGTTCCAAGATCAAAGGCAAGCGCTGCACCAAATCCCTCGTCGGTGCAGGATCTGCACCAAGCAACGCGGATCATCGACCTACAGACGTGGCGACTGCATGCAACTTATGCCGGCCTGGAGCTTTGACTTCAGTCGCCTCGTTTCGACCCTTTTCTTTTACTTCTTCGTAAGCCTGGGGCTGTCCACGGTTTTCCGTGTAAGTCGCCAGCCGGCGAAATGTCAGTCAGCAGATGCATGGCTGGAGCTTCGACTGGATAGGCCCCTCCACCTTATGCGTTTGAGCTCGGGGCAAAGAGCAATCATCCCCATACTGCACGTGGACATCACTCCATGGCCTTGCTAGCCTTGGTTGTGCTGTACGAATCCCTGGTCTCTCGAACTTTCTGGCCACCTAGTCATGATCGTACGACTGCTTGCGCTAGCGCTGGGGCCTTTGTGAGAAGCACGTCGTGTGCCAGCAGCGCGTCCTGATGCAGTTGATACAGTGCCTGGCCCAAGCTGCCGATGCTGGGTGGGGCCTGCACCATCTTGGTGAAGCTGATGCTGATGTCCTCGGAGACAAGTCACGAGCATACGGAGCTGACAGCCCTTCAGGGAATCTCAGAGACACCTCGCCAACTTGCCACGACGGACTCTTTTCAAGGGGCCCTGCTGCTGGTACTCTGTCGTCTTCAACGTGAGCTCGAAAGAAACTCATAGCGAAGCGATGCAAAGACAAAACCAGCATCGCAACGATTGTTGTAGGCTCCGAGCTGGCCTGCCATCACAGCCTACGGCCGGTTTGTGCTCAGTTAATTTCCGCTTCCGCTTGCAGCACTGACTGAATAAACTCTTCATGCCAGTGTGCCTTGTGCCTCTCCGTGATCCACGCCGCGGCCTGCACATAACAAAAACGAAAGCCGTGTTGCCGTCTGTGTGCAGCTGCTGCACTAAAACCGATCGCCAAACCTCAACCCTCGAAGTCTCAAACCCCCATCTCGGCATGCCCGCAGTGGAATGCAACTCATGTCCAGCCTGAACTGCCTCGAGGTCTTGTGGAAGGAACCTGAGTCAGCACACCGCACAGGTACAGAGGAAAACAGGGCATGCAGCAACGGAACGAGGCCGAGGCTCATCTACAATGCTGCCATTTAAACGACCTGGCACGACAAACAAGCAGCCATGGCTCATGTGGGAGACCGAGTCACGTCGTAGGCGGACTGCAAGGCCTCATCCGATCCAGTAATCACGCCTGGAGACGACGCCTTGGACAGCATCACATGCTCCTGGCTGGATGGGAGGAGGGGGGTGGGTTCAGGATGTATTTAGAGTTGGAAGACAGGGCGGCGATGCAGGAGACTTGGAATCCACCTTCAGCAAGCATCGGCCCTAAACGTCTGTGCCGTAGACAGCTGCACTCGGATGAGCCGTCGTGCAAGAGCCCAAACTTTAAAGACCAGGCATGCGCTTAACAGCCTTGAAAATGAAGTTCGAAGGGAACGACGTCGGAGAGGGATTGACGACAGCACAAACGCACACACGCTCACATGGCCACTGTACGCACGAAAATGAAGGCAGAACTGCACATGTAGAAAGGAAATGTTATTGGTGTGGGGACGCGTTTAAAAAATATATGATGTCTCCGTTGATGGGGCAGGTGGTTTTGCATATGTTCTGTCGAGAACGATACGCGCCAAAAAGAAACGAGAGTAGTTGCGCGGGAATAATGGGCGACTGAGGGCAAATCCGGCACTCGCGGCAAGGTGAGCTGGGGCTCTTGCAGACTCTGACACCATGTTATACCAGCTTACACTCTTGCGAGTCTTGCGAATCTTCCCTACCGCGCCTGGCGATGCCTCCATGAACCGATGAGTGTGGGGCTGGATGGGCCCTCATAAGAGTCTCGATGCATGTGGTGCGGGGCAAAAGCCACGACGCTACCAATGTCTGAGACAAGAGCCTGTACCGGCAAGGATGAGGCCTGAAAACAGTATTCTTGCAACCTGCAACGTGAAAGCCGACCTGCAATGCCCTGCAACTCTCGGCATGGTGCTACCATCGAAAGCATGGACGCCCTCCATATTCGCACAAATCCCGGCGGGAGGGACCGAGTGCTGCTGATGACACTTGACAAGTATGCAGCGGTACACGTGGTAAGTCAGCAAGTCTGCATCTCAGTAAGCACAAAGATCGAACATCCCATAAGCGCCATGTCTATACCCTTTTCGATCCAACCCCTGAACCCCAAACCTCTCAATCAATAGTTAAACCGTAAACCCCTAACGCCACAACGACTCTTGGCTTGGTAATGATAAAGCCCAAAGCGATACGAGTCTATGTGGCTTTTCTCGGCTTCATAATATGGTTGCTCACTGTTTTTCAGGGTTTGATACGGTCTTTTTCGGTCTGTCACGATTGTACACGGTTGTATATGCGATTTGTCATTCGTGGCTGAGAGGCTAGTCCGGATCCGAGCAGACCTCAAACCGTAAGCAAATTCTGCGAACTACCCCACAAGCTACCCACACAATGTATATGAAGGTCCTGCGCACAAACCCCTTAACCCTGAAGGCCTTAAACCCCCAAGAAGCCTCAACTCTTGGCTTGCCCGCCGGCGGGGTCACTTTTTTGCTCGCAAACACCGCAAAAGCCGATGCGAAAGCAAAGCAAAGTTAAATGTCGGGTGAAGAAAGTGCCAAGACTCGAGTTTCAGCACATGCCAGCAAAGGAATTACACCACCCCGCGAGGCGGCAGATGCAACGCCTACCAACAACAACACATTCAACACCACCTGAGCAACAACAGCCTTCATTGTCGTGACCCCAAATGCCTAACCTAAACTCGAACCTTTCCTCCAAAAGCAAGCGCCCTGATGTCGAACCACAACGACCCGTCGGGCCTTTCTGCTGAAGAATCGAAGGCCTGTGGTCATGACGAGACTTCTGGCCCTATCCGCATTCGCGCGCAAGGAAAAGAGTCTGACGAGTTGCTGGGTTCGAGATTTAGTGTTGAAGAGGCTCATGAGCTGGTGGGAACTTTGGGAGCCTGGCGAGTGGGGCAGCACAGAGCAGTCGGAATTCTTGTGGCTCTTAAGGAAGTGCATTTCCCCCCTGCGTCGCCTTCTGCTCTTCCTGTCCTTCTGCAGCTCGATCTCAACCCCTGCCTGCACGTGCAAATGAAGTTAAGAATGTCGCGTAATCGCCATAAGTGCAGCTTTTTCCTCTTCCTCCTCCTCCTCCTCCTCCTCCTCCTCCTGCTCCTGCTCCTGCGCCTGCGCCTGCTCCTGCTCCTGCTCCTTCTGCGGCTGCTGCTCTCACCACGATTACCACGACCTCTACAAAAACCAAAACCACGGCCGCTACCACTACCACTACCAGTTACGACCAGCAACACGACTGCAACCGACGATAACGACCATGACCACCAGATCACCTCCTCCACAATGCAACAGCTGTTGCCATGACTGCTGCTGCCCTTATCGTGATGATTGCTGTTGGCGGCACTGTACTTAAGATGCCTGCATCTGCTTGAAGATGTAGTCGAACTTCTGACGCCACACCTGATGCAAAAGACGGCAACCACTCTGCACACAGCTTCTCCGTTCTTGCTGCTGACTCATACAGTCTTCTAGGGTTTCGGCTTCAGACAAGAACTAGGAAAGCCCGGGCCCCAGCCTCCTTCCGTATGAGATCCTGGTGAAACCGCTCGACCTCGATTCGAAGCACCGGCTGCAACATCGAGCGACCCTGCTGCGATCTCAGCCATCAGAGAGATCAGGTTGCCGAGACGCCGCAGCCCAAACCTCTTACAACCGCCCTATGTCAGATCGTTTGGAACACCTGTGGGTCTTCTTCTTTTCCCTTCAACCTCGACAAGACACCTCTCAGTCTCCCGGACCTTTGCAGTGAACAGAGCCTTGGCACTCGCACCTGTCTATCCATCAAGTGAAGTAAACCTTGAAGATGGTTGGCACTAACTCACAGCAGGACCGGGAGCAGCAGTCTATACTTGAAGACACGGGGTGGAATGCTGCACCGGGTGGAATGCTGATGATGCATGGACCCAGTACAACCTCTGCAGCACAAGGAACTGCGGAATCACATGCAACGACAATCCGAAAATAATACCAAAGCGAACGAGAGTATTCGCCGCAATGATACTAGGAGCAACAGTGACATTGACTCGCGTTATCACCATCATGACCATCATCATCATCATCATCATCGCCATCATTGTCATTATCATCATACCATCGTCAGCAACAGCAGCAGCAGCAGCAGCAGCGGCATCCTGATGAAAATCGGCACCAGCATCACCGTCTTCTTCATCATCGTCATCATCAGCAGCAAAAGCAGCGTCATCATCATCACCACCACCACCATCACCATAGCTACCACGACCACCACCATTAGCATCAGAAAGACAGCGGAAGAAACAGGACGAACACCAGACCGCTGCGTCTACCAATATCGGTCGAAGAGCATAATGAGCATGACAAAAGCAAGAGCGAAAAAACAGTACCGATTTCAACACTGATTGTCAGAAGAATCCCAAGCCTCAAGTTCTCCGAGGGGGTGGCCTTTCGTGGCCGCTGCATGCTGTCGGCAACTGCCAGGCAGAAACGTGCGATGAGAACTGCCCGAGCGGGGTTAACTGTGTCGCTGTATTTGTTGGTGTAGATTCGATTCCAGGTTGCCACTGCGCCCCAACTGGACAAGCAAGAAGAGAAGCCACCGCCTTCGACGCGGCGGGCAGCCGCCGCCTGCCATGCCCCGGACCGCACAACCAGAATCTCACTCCTACGACTTCAACACTCCCAAAGAAAGACCACCCCCAAATCCTAAACCACAAGCACAAACTTGCTTCCTGAAGCCGGCAAGCCTGAAACCACACAAACCCAAACGCACGGGCATCAAAAGGCAAGCGCCGGGCGGCCAGGCCTCGAAGGCCTCAATAGCAGCGTCCTGGGCATCTCCGGCGACTTTGAAGCTTACGGGGAGGCGTTTCGAAGGTTTTGGGGTTCTGGGCGTTGCGAAGGTTCATGACCTGTTGGTGGACTTTTGTGAAGCCTTGGGCCTGAGGATGTTTCTTTTTGGGGGCTCGGGATCACTCGTTGCTGAGGTCTATAAGGCCAAGGCTTACGCACTCAGGCACTTGGGGCCTGGAGCTTCGCGATCGGGGTCAACATATTGCAATGCTCGTGTGGCGTGGGGCTTGCAGGCCTCAAACCTTCCATCCGCTGAAGCCATCCACCCTAAACTCCATAGTCAAAAGCCTACATAGACACGAACCTGGACTGCCCTCCCCAACCGCACAATCCTGAACTCGAAAGCCAGAAACCCTGAAGCCCCAAATCCCTGAACCCCGGCCGGCGCGCCTCAAGGTCCGGGCGCCCGGACGAGGCCTCTTTTGCGGGAAGGGATGTGGAAAAAGGCCTTGAAAAACGCGTTTTCCCGAGCGGCTCGTCCGATGTTCAATCAGGAAGCAGCCGGTTGGCCAAAACCGCGTCTTTCTGTAAACGATTCTCACATAATTGATTTTGTACAATGTACAAACAGACCCCGCAGACCCGTTTTGCAAGCCGAGGCGCAAAGGAACGCAACCTTAACGCACAAACACATGCTGCGTCAAGCGACAACGATCGTGGAAGTACGTTGTCTACAGGCAGCGCAGCATCAAGCAACATTCAGAAGGCTACAGGCAACAACCGAGCTTTGACTTCGACGGACGTCTCTCTGTCACAAGAAGGTTCCCTAAGACTGACATACAAGTGGTGGGATCCTTGTTCTATGGAGCCCCACATGCAGGACCCCCTAACAACAAGAACCCCCCATAAAAATCGTAGTCAGACCCTCTAACTCGAAGCTCCTTCTACCAATGAACTTCAGAGAACTCCCCTTCCAAGGCTGTTGGAAAGGCGAGTCGCTTGTGTCTGCCCATGGGGGAGGGCGTGCGACTCCGCCGCTCCATGGCAGCCTCGGGGGCTCACGAGGAAGACCACGCTCGGTCGTCGGGCTTAGGGCTTCGAGCTGAGAATCCGGAAAGAGACCTCGCTCTGTTCGTCTCTCTATGAACTGCTGCTATCTACTGTTCATGCCACCGCTATCGACTGTTCTGATACACTCCAGACTCTAGACTCTGGACATCTTTTTGCTGCCGATAGACCGACTCCTGGAGCGTTGCAAAAGGATTGTACCCTCATTGCGCAAGTTTGAGATCCGCATATTCCTGGCTTTGGGGGCCTGTGCAGCAACGGGGGCCTTGTTGCACGGTTCCCAAGTCTGACAGCAATACGGGACGCCAAAACATCACCCTGAACACACAAGGATGCCTAAAAAGATGCACCCCAAACCCCCAACAGCGACTGACATTGAAAAGCAGAGATGTCCAAGGAGAGCACCTGCTCCATCTGCTCCTGCAGAGTTACGAACAATTCAAGATTGAGTCGGGTCTTATGGCTAAGGAGCTCAGGGTTTTACGGATTTGGGGTCCGCAGGTCTTACCAAGAATGAACACACAGCTACCACGATTATGTTTTCTCGGTAGCATCGTGACTGGCTTGAACATGCCTGTGATGGCTGGTAGCATTATCACGAATTTGCAATCCTAAGGATGCCATGGCCATAACCGATTGTCCCTGCTCATTGCTTCTGTCGCACGGGGGCAGGATCCCGGCTGCAGGAAGCCGAGCTTCCCCGCCTTGCGTGCCTTCTGCATGCGCCGGCGAATGGTGATGACCTCGATCATGGTTCTACAGGAAACAACAAAGTCATTTGTAAATATGCCATGGCGCTATGTTCGGAGAGCAGCATACCAATCTAATCGTAGACCACAACAGATCAGAACAGAGTAAATGACAAGCATCACCATCATCATCGTCACGAATGCTGTCTCTGTTCTGAGCTCGGCTCTCCTGAATGAGCTGCTCCCGAGGGTGCAGTCCAAACTTGAGGCCCCGGCGCTGTCCCCGGGCCTGAGCCAAGGAGGCGAACAGTCATTGCAACAAGGAGAATAAAGCATAAGGCGCCAATGATGATGCATATGGGCGTGAGCAAAGCGCGAGTGTTCACGATGACATGATGGCTTTGCAAGCATGTCGAGCGGGGAAAAGTAATCAACATGATGAGAGGAATGAGCCTTACCGTAGGTGCAGTGAGCTGGCCTGAAGGCACTGACATCCGGCTCTTCCTCCTCCTGAACCTCTTCATCCTTCGGCTTCTCGTCCTTCAAGCGAAAGCGAGGTTAGAAGCATTTAGCCCTGACACAGGACACCTCAAAAAGTCCTAAATCCCTTGGCACCAAAGCCCGAAAGCGAAGCAACCGCAACCGTGGCTGGGAGTCCTTGGCCTTCTCCTCCTCGTCATCCTTCGCCTCCATCTCGGCCATGGCCTTTAGAGCTTCCGGTTGATGGCTTCGGGAAGCAGGTGTCGCGGCTTTTGAGTAGAACTTGAGTTGCTAGCGGTAGTGAGTGGTAGCGGTGCTCGCGGCAGTAGCGGGACAACACTTTCAAACAGCAGAGCAGCAGCAGGAGCAGTAAAACCTGTGGAAGAGGCTCAGACGTCAGAGGAGGAGACTCAGTCCAAGGCCTCCCCCCTGTGAACCACATCCGGCGGAGAACGCAAGCAGATACGACAGACAACACTTCACACAAGCCGTAAGAAGACGCACCCGAAACGAAGGCCGCAAACCCTCAGCCTTGACCACAACCTGGACAGTTAAGGTCTGAAGCTTTCAAGGACTAACAAGTGAATAAGATGACAATCCGAACACCCCCAAAACAGAAAGCTCGACACTAATAAACAGCAAAACAGTGTCGTAGACATGTAAATACAGAGCCAACGCGTGAGAATAGCTCGCTCGGCGTAATGGCGACACCGGTCATGCCAACAAACGCAACAGGTGGTCGCAGTAAAGATAGCAGCGATGGGGATAGGACTGGAAGCCAAGATGGCAACAAAAGGAATTGTGATGGAAAGCAAAGAAACAAGAACAATACAGAGCATAACACCGAGAAAAGCGGTTTCGAGGGTAAGCCGCACAATAAAAAAACCCAAAACCTGTACCCTAAAACTCGACTCCCTGAACCCTCGACCCTCAACCCTAGCAATAAAAACCTCTGCTGTGTGACTGCCGCTGATTTTCGTGGCTTCTCGGTCCCGGGCCGCCTCCTTCGGAGCTCTGCGAGGTGCGGAGTTGAGCCAAACACGAAGTGCGCCGTGGCTCCGGGATTCCGGGCTTAGGGTGCGTTGCCTTCGCAACTTCTGGGTTCAGGGTTGGGGAACTTAGATTCTGGGTCCTTAGTTTAAGGCTCGGGGTTCAAGCTTGTTCAAAGGGTTCGGACTTCGGCTACAGGTTTGGGCTCAGGGAAAGTGCAAAGTTGGAGCCAAGCTTCTAGTGTACACACTGTACAATAAACCATGTAGCAGTCATATAGGGATTACACGCCCTATATACGGTCAACCATAAATGTAACCCTTGCAAAACCATATACATATACATATACATATACATGCACATATACATATACATATACATATACATATACATATACATATACATATACATATACATATACGTATACCTATACATATACATATACATATACATATATATATATATATATATATATACATATACATATACATATACATATACATATACATATACATATACATATACATATACATATACATATACATATACATATACATATACATATACATATATATATATATATAAACCCTACATCACTCTTTTTATGTGTGTGTATGTGTATGTTTGTATATGTGTATGTGTGTGTGTATATATATATGTGTGTGTGTGTGCCATATACACACATATATATATATATATATACAACATATACATATACATATACATATACATGTGCATGTACATGTACATGTACATGTACACGTACATATACATATACATATACATATACATATACATATACATATACTGTATACATATATACACATACATAAACATATACGTATGCATTATACATATCCTGCATTCCACCCTGCCTAAACCTCACGAAACCCGGTGTTGCAGACCCCAGCGCGGGTCGCCTGCCAGGAGTCCAAGCAATCCACTGGAGTCCTCCACAGATGAAAACTCTTCGGGCTTAGGGTTTGTTCAGGGTTTAGGATTTAGGGGCTTAGGGTTCAGGGGCTTAGGGTTCAGGGGTTTAGGGTTTAGGGGTTTAGGATTGATGGGTTTAGGATTTGGGGGTTTAGGATTTGGGGCTTTAGGGTTTGGGGGCTTAGGGCATCACAGCAACAAAGGACATGCAAGTTTTGTAAGAGAACAATACGTAGAAATACACAGTTGTAAAGACGAGCTCTACAAAACAGTAGAAGCAGCTGAAAAGAAAACAAAATCAGCATACAACGGACGGATATAACGCATACGATGTAAGATATACATCTGTGCATCAATGTATATATGAACACAACTGTGAACATTTAATACTCGAAACATTCACTCAACTACTGATTTCACACCGTCCCCGAGCCAAACTCCCCAAAAAAAGAATCAAGTTAAACCAAACGAATATCGTGACAAGCGAACAAGCCAGTGTTTACCCTGATGTTGAGGTTGAAGATGATGTTGACATAATGCGCAGGAAGGGCGTTACAAGAACGCACACTGAGATGCAGAGTAATGGAAACATGCTGATACGGGAGATCTTGACGACAATGAAAATACGAATGGCAATCACCACAAGAATAAAACACAGGACGCTTCAAGTGACAGCAATCAGCCTCAATAAGAAGAAGATCTCGCCAAGTCTCCTCCAGTGGCAACCCGGTGAGCTGAGTGAGGCCCGTGCTGGCCGCATCAATCTCAGGAAATCGCATGAGGGGGCTCGTGAGGCAGAGCTTTAGGGGTGTAGGGCCTTGTTTTGGTTGTTTTGGTGGTTTTAAGGGGGCTTACAGGGCTTTACCCCTTCACGGCTTTGCAGCCTTCTAAGCTCACGTCCAACCCAAGTTACCTGCAACTTGAGAACAGGACTCAAGAAACTGGCCCTTGTTCCCCAGAAAAAGCTAGAAGAAACTCCGGCCAAGAAAGTGGGCCACCTTAGCCGATCTCAGTGAAGTCTAACCATGATATTAGGAGCCTCGAAGGGAGGCCCCCCCAAAGAAGACGAAAAGGCTTCCCTCTTCTGAGGATGCCACCGTGTCATCCTGGGTCGAGGAGTCTCTGGCCACGAGCCAGAAGACGAGGAGGCAGAGGACGACGAAAGCCAGGTCCTGATCCCAAGATTCCATGGTTTCTGGACAAGAGACGCCAGTGCAGGAGTTCATATCTTACTATTGAGCCCTAGCTTCAGCAGGTCCCTTTGGGGAAGCCTGGAAGTGAGGAGTGTTGGGGTCTTTCTTATGATGCTGATGCTATGATGAGTCCGGTCCGATATGAAAAGCAACTCCGGCTCAGGGTTCGGGCTTATCACTGGGAGCGCAGCTCGGGGGCTTGAGATCTAGGGCTTAGGGTTCAGTTTCGGCATCTCACGCAATCGACACGAAACTCCGGGACCCCCGGACCGCGCAACCGACATCCGAACATCCGGGGGCCTCGACGTCTGCTTCTTCCCGGATGCCCGGCGCTGAATCCACGAAGGCCTCGCATCGAAAAGCACGGAAGAACGCAGCAAGCAAAAAGCGAAAAGAAGGTGACAGCACCCAAAGAAGCAAAACACCACCTCGAAGCATGCAGAAGCGACCAAGAAGCACAATCCCAAACCTGAACCCCAAAAACCCTGACTCTTCGGCGTTCTTCCTTCACCTACACAGGACCGGCTTCTTCCTATATGCTCGTGCGCCGAGTGTGTTGTAGAAAAATTCAGCATTCGAAGCAAACTTTGGTGTATCTCATTCAACTGTGTGAGTCTTACTGCAGAGTGAAGCATTCCCGCTTGTCTTGTGCATGACAGTGGTCTTGCACATTCTGAACAATCTGACAATGGATCCGACTGTTGCGCATTCCTCTTCTTGTCTTCCGGAGCACCCCCCCCACCGGAATTGAGGCAACCTCTGCGGCAGAGGTGTCGTCGATCCGAAGGGCCGTGTGCACCAAGAAAGCAACGGCCGAGAAGACCTCGCAAGCTCTGTCCCGTGTAGAGAAGGGAGCTTGTCGGGTTTGGAACATCATTTTAGGACAGGTATATTCCGAGGTGTTTGTGCACTAGGGTCGCGCAGGAGAAGTTAAAGAACGAGCCATGACTCGACGAAACACCAGATGTGACATTGTGGCATTACGGATCAAAAACCCGAAACTTTTTACCCTTCGTCCTAAAGCACTAAGCGCAAAACTTTGGAAATTTCCCAACAAAAAGTCCTTAACCCCGATCCCCTGACTACGCCCCACCCTTCTTCCACTCTCGCTTCAGGGCGCCTCCTCGGGGAAGCGGGCCCAGAAGGCCGCCAAGCCCCGCTTGAGGACCTGCAGAGACAGGCTCAGGTTAAACGGGCATTCTGATGGGAGGCCAAAAGGGGGGTTTAAGAGTAATATGAACCCCATTATGGTAGGCTAAAACCAAGTTTTGGCCTCCTATGACATTCGTAGCTTGATCTTCAGTTCAACCCCTATGGAACCCCCTTAAGGAAGCCTTACAGAGCAACTCGAATCCTTTGAGACCACCCTCTTGCCCCTCGTTTCGAGGCTGAAAGGAAGCTATCTGTAGAAGGAGCTTCGAAAGTCTTCCCATCCTTCTGAGCACCTCCATGCCCCAATCAATCGATACTCGAATGCTACTGACCTGGAGCCATGAACTTCAACTTCGACGCCCTTCCTTTCGTAAGTACCCCTCAGTCCCTGATTCGGGCTTTTCTGCTTGGAACCTGGCAGATCGAATCGGCGCCTAAACCCAAAAATCCCCAAACCGTGCCGCCCCACGCCTCCGCAAGGGGAGTGGCCTCCGCGCGGCAGCTCAGAGCGACCTCAGGTTGCCGCAGAAGCTCATGGAATCATAAGGGGTGGGGGGGGCCTTGCTCTCGGAGATCAGACTTTTGCGTCCCCCTTGTTGGGATTCCCCAATGATGCGGATGCTTGACTACGAAATGCTGACGTTGTGGGTTCTCGGTATTGTGCTACGGTCCTGCGGTCCCCACTTTTGCTCATCCGACTGTTCAAAGGGGTTCACAAGCAGACTGTAGTTTCACTGCCAAACCGGTACACGGTCCATGAAGAAGCCCAGCTTCCAACGAAGACTGAGCGTACATCATCACACAAACATATGTTTCGAGCGGAAAATGCCTCCACAAAGTTGCATTCCGGCATCAAAGTCACCACCAAGCTACCCCGAACCCCAACGTAGTGTACCAACACCACATCCTAGAACCCTGAGCTCTGACATCCAGATCGAAACCCTCGCAGAGCCGAAACCCTACACAGAAACTCGGAAGTTCAACCCCGAACCTTAGAGTCTTAGACACCTGGGACTTTCCGAAAATAGGCGACCCTACTATAGGGACCCTCAATAGTAGGATCCTTGTTATAAGGACCCCCAAAATAGGGTACCCCTAATTTTCGGAAACTCCCACCTTGACCTAAACCCCAAAGCAAAACTGCTGGGGCAAAGCACTGCCGCCTCTGCGACGGCCTGCGTCCCCGCGCTGCGGCCAAGCCGGAGGAGCACCGAGGCGAAGGCCTGCGGAGTTTAACTGAAAGAAGAACTCAGAAAGTCTCCTTCTCCTATTATTTTGGTCCTTTATTGGGCATCTTCTGTGTTTTGTATGTATATATATATATATACACATACTGCGATATACTCTGGCATCTACTGTGTTTCTGTGGCACTTTTCTCTGCGAGGTTTGATGAATGCTTCAGCCGAGTCTGAAAACCACTTGGGTTTGGGGGATCCGCCTCCCGGCGTGGCTCTGGCTGGAGCACCTTGCAATGCTCCAGGATCACCTCCAAGGCCTGGCAAAAGGGGAAAGAAGCCGGAGTTCAAGTCATCCAAATGGGGCTGCTTCGCTTGGATTTCGAAGGTGCGGTCTACCAGAAAGACACCCGCTCCGGTTCAAGCTCCGATCCGGCTTCCAGCAGAAGTGATCGGAGGAGCTTTCCAAAACAAGGGAAGCCTGGAGCCTCGATGAAAAGCTTCTAGTGACTCTGGGCGGAGTTTGGTTTTGGGCGCCTGGTCCCGAAGGCAGCGCTCCTGACACGGAGGAGAAGCATGTCGAAAGCTCTCAGGGTCTGTTCTTGCTGAGACAACTTGTCAATCGAGCTCCAGCAAGCATGACTGGCACCACACGTCGTCACCAGATTTCTGCACACGAGACGAACCCAAGAAGCGCGGACAATCTGTGGGCAGAGAGCTTACGCGGTGGGAGGCTTGGGGGGACGTTCTCCAGCGGATCCTGCACAGCTCTGCTGCTGTCACCCCCATGGCCGGCAGCACCCAGGTAACGATGGATCCATCACCAAGTACGGCGGCAAACCCACAGGCAGAAGCTTGGATCTGCTGCACATTCTTCAGCTGTCCCTCCTCCTCCCCCCTCCTCCTCCTCCCTCACCCCTCCTCCTCCCCCTCCGGCTGCGACCGCAGGTGCGGGTGCGGGTGCTGCTGCCACCACCACCACCATCATCACCTTAGGATGCTGTAGTTGCGCCGCTACTCCGGTTCGTCTTCGGAAAGCAACACGGGACTCGCAGATTGCTTGGACACGTATGGACTCGGACTCCCCACCGCACTCCCGGCTCCCAACAAGATGCCTTGGGCAGAGCACCCGCCTATCCCGGTGGCAACGTGTCCCTCTCCCGCTCCTCCCAAAGAGGGCCCGAAGCCACTATCAGCAGCTCTGACACATGCCTCGGATCAGGGGTTAGTAGTTAGTAGTTGTTTGTGTTGTTGCACTGCAAGGCAAGGACATGATGTTGCTTTGAAAGGAGTCCGAAGATTTGGGGACCGCGCTTTCGACGTGAGTCTCAGGTCTCTAGCTCGCCAGACCCACACTAATTAGGACTTAGGCCCCTTTCGCTTTCCTCTGCTTGCAACACCGCGCGGCGTGCCGACGATATCGTCCACATCTACTGGGACCCGCAGTTGCTCCTGGCAGGCGAAGTGGAAGCCACGGCCAGTGCATTTTAAGCCGGGCTCAGGATTCGCTTGACTAGCCTCATGCCTAGGAAAGAAGCCTCTTGCGAAACCCTCTTCGCGACAGTTTGGAGCTCATGGCCGCTGGTCGAAGAAAGTGAGAATCAGCATGGCTTCATGCTGAAGTCTCTTGCTCCATCCTTCGGGGTTTCGCGTCTAGAGATCCTAAACCCTGTATCCGCAACTCTGACTCTTAAACCTACGTCCGAAAGCCAAAACTCAGCGAAGCGATCCCGTCGAAGGGGCTCCTCCAAGGCTTCCTTTTGCCACACGGCGAAGAAAGCGGCGAACTGCTTCAGGACAAAAGGCGGGCCTGAAGCTTCGGGCGAAGGGTATGAAGCTCGTGGCTGGGGCTGGGTAAGGAGTGCACTTATGGTTGAGTTGCAGGTGTCCGGCCGGGGTGTGGGGTCTGAGTGAGAACACCAGGCGAACCGTGAATGGCACCGCATGATCCCGGCCAAGTCCCTGGACGAGAACCTTCTTGCTGCTGAAAGCTCGGCGACGCAATTCCCAGTCTTTCAGCTTGAATCAGGCTCCACAGCCCAAAGCTAACCAAACTCCTCCACTGCAAATAGTCTATGGGCCTATGCGCTTCCCATGACAATGGAGCTCTGAACAGCAAGGGCAAAATCCCCATGCAGTCTATGGCTATAGTACGATCATGGGCCATTTCTAGGACACCTTCCCCGCGGACGCGGACCCCGAGTCCCTGGCGTGGGTCCCGAAGCCAGCCCCTCAACATCTCCAGGGCCGCCTGGGCTTGGCCCGGATGCTCACAGGAACCCGGGCCTCAAGAGACTGCAGCATTTAAACTGACCTCCGCCCCTGAATTTGCCCTTGGCTTGGGGCTTTAGCTTTGGGGACTCAGCTCCGCCACCTGCCCCGTCGTGGCTGAAACTAGACAGCCTAGATGTGCACACATAAAATGAGCCAACGATCTGGAAACTGAATCACTGCTCAAGCCCAAAGCCCTGCATACCCTGCGCCCTCAACTCTAAAAAGCGTCGCCACCCCAGCGCACCTGACCCTGCTGCACGTCCCACGCCCCTGCAATGAGGCGAGCCTCCCGGAAAGGCCAGAGCCCTGCTTCTACGTCGACCACTACTAACTGTCACAACGTAGCTACTACAACTACTACTACGTACAGGTTACTATTGCTTCTTCTTCTTCTTCTTCTTTACCTGCTGCTGCTGCCCTGATGATGCAGGCGAGCCCATTTACGGCAAGACTCCCTTGTGCTCTTTTCCGCAGGTCGCTCCATGGCCAAAGAATCACAAGCGCCCACGAACAAGCGCGGAGCTTAAAGTTCGAACACACCGCGTTATGCCGCAGGTGTTCGGAACTCGCCACCGGCCTTCTGCCTGGAGGATGCTCAGGCACAAGGCCGACAAAAGTGTGGGAGTCGGGGGATATCATGCGCTGCAGAGGCAGCAGCAGGGGGCCCTGGGCTCTTGTCACCATTCGGTTATCGCCATTCGCTACATGACAGAGATGTCGGCACGGCAAAGCAGGCGGCACCAGCTACAACGACAACGACAACTGGTCTGACTAATACCAGAACCACAACAGTCAAAACAACAACGACGACGACCTCCACAACCGCGACCGCGACTGCAGGCGCAAGTGGACCGCAACTGCAACAACAGCGTCAGCAGCCACCAACAGCCAGCAACAACCGCAACAAACACCACCACCACCACCACCACCGCCGCCACCACCACACCACCGCCAGACTTGGATTCAGAACGGCGAAGTGGCCCATGCACTGGACAACCAATCGGGACCCGGCACCATGCAGCGAATCACATGGCCGTACATCCGGTGTTCATCGCTTCTGCGACATGCAACAACGCCATGGTTGTCAGGAGATCGCACGATTCTGGTGCACTGGCTCTCGGATGATGAGCGTCTTACACACTTCGCTACTATGGCTTCAAGCTGCCTTGAATCTTCGCTCGCCCCCTGGATGCTGCAGCCTACCAAGTTGCCTCTTCGTCTTGGAGCCTTTGATTCCTTTGCGTGCCCTTCATTAGTGAAGTGGCTAAGCCCTGGTACCCACATAAGCTGCATGCCAATATGCATCCGGCGACGCAAGCGCTGACCTAGTTCCTGTCGCGACGTCTGGACTCTCCTGACTGCGGTACAGAAAAATAAGCCCAGGACCAGCACCAGCACCACGACCACAACCACCACCACCACCACAACCGAAATCACTCATTCTTGCGATTCCCTTAGCTCGTAACACTGTTCTGACATCTTATTCATATTCTGGCTATCATATCATTAACTTTGCGTGAGCTTTGTCGTAGTATGATCGCTTGGTAGAGTAGTCACTTTAAAGTATAAACACCACCATAATTACGACCCGCACCGCCAAGGTCTTCGATCGTCATCAGAATGATAAAAACAAGAACAACCGTAAGGATCCGCACTGCTAAGAACCAGGGCCCCATGAGCCACTACGGGGAGTGATTCCTCACCCGCATGTCCAACAGCGCTTAAACGCCTGAAAATTGTGAGCTCTAGAATAGAAGGGGGGGTCGGTCATGCTCTGCAGGACCGACGGGAACGAGGCAAGAGTCCAGGGCCACCCTGCAGCAACCCTAGTGTAGTCCAAGGGTTACGCTTGGGGTGGCCGAAAGGGGAGGAGACCAGCGCTTTGGCATCTGAGCATCTTCGGTAACGTCACTCCGAAACCTTCCTGGAGAAGTCGGAGAGCTGTGACTAAGCACCAAAAGAAGCAAGGCCCGGGCAGTGGCTACATCGGTTACAAAAGCAAGACCAAGACGAACAAGCAATTGAAAGAGCGATGGCAGCAAGACACTCGGCCCTCTAGACTCACATGACGCGTCAGGCGATCGGCCAACTCCATCGGCAGGACTGAACGGTCAAGAAAAGCCAAGAGGTCCGGCGCACTGAAGCCTGGACTAGGGCCCAAAACTCCAAGCGAAAATCAATAATGAAATATGATTGAAGTTATTCGGGCTTCACCCAATCCACCTTGCGCTTCCGGACTTCATGGAAGATGCTGCTTCAGAAGGGTAGTGAGTCGCAGGAGCATCTTCGGCTTGGGGCAGTGGTAAAATCGCAGAGATGCAGCAACCATCTTGCCTCAGCTCAGCAAGCTGTCGACTTGCCACGTCCCAAAATCAAACTAAGACTTGAAGCATGAAAACCTCGATCCGCTTGAAACCCCTAAATGCCACGGGCCTGTAGGCCCATCGAAAAGCGAGAGCTCAGAGCTAAAGCGCTTCGGAAGCCCAGGTGCTGAGAGCTGACAGTGGCAGCCGAAGGCACATGCTCTTGATGTCGGACCAGTCCTGGCGAGCAACAGAAGGGCAAGATCGGATTCTGGCTTGTCATACGAGGATGACAATGAACTACAATTACCCCTGTTTGAATCCCCGTCGGCCCGTCCTGTGCTGAGCCTCACAAGGGCCCTCAAATCTGAAATCCTAGGAGTTGTTGCGCAGAGGCGTTAGAACCCTCAGACACCCTGAACCCTCGGCCAAGAGCCCTTCGACATGTCGTCACATCTCGGCTCCTGTGGCTCCACGAGCTGCACTCTCAACCCACTGCTGGGAAGCAAGGCATCCTCCACGCCTAGCAGCGAAGCTCGTCGAGGAACCAGCTTCACGGAGGGTTACTGATACTGAGCGTACGTGCTGTTGGTCTAAACCTCGCTGTGCCCGAAAGTTCTCCTGGTACGCTTACCTAGGTATGTACAGATCAGATCTCATGTTGTCTGTGTGCGTATGTGTTTGTGCTTCTGCTTCTGCGTCTGCTTGCGCTTGCTCTTCTGCCTCTGACAGTGTGTGCTTGCTTTTGTGAGTGGGGGGTTCGTGCCTGCGTATATACACAGAGTATGCTGCACTATGTCTCATACATATATGTATATGTACGTAAAGAGACGAATCGCGCTGTTGCTGTCGTTTGGTTTTTCCTCATATCTCTGTTGCCCTCGCCATCTGCAGTGCCATTCTCGCTGTGGTAGCTGGCACTCTCTGTTTTCCACACGAAGAAACGCGGCCCTGAATCCGAAGACCTGGAAAACTCCGATCTCTGAACCTCCGGACCATAAGAACGAGATCCCAAACCCCAGGACCCGACCGAACCAAGTGTCCCTTCTTGCCTTGCAAGAAAGAGCCCCAGGACTCCTCACCATGCTAGCACGCCCGCTTGGCGATACTAGTAGCGGCTTCAGGTCACCATCCTCCCATTTGTTGCTTTGGCTGAAGGGCCCAGTGTTTCGGAAGGAATCCTGAGTTCAGACGTCGACGTCACTTGGTGCAGAGGCAACTCTCCTCCGGTTGCGCAGCCCAGGCGTGGCGCACCTTCCACACGAAGTGCCTCGGAATCCGAGAGCTGTGGTTTAGGGGGTTTAGGTATAGTTTTTAGATTTCTCGGGTTACGGCGATTCGGTCACATGTGACGACTTTGAGAGTCCAGGTGCAGAAGCCTTGAAACTACCCGACTTCTCGAGGCCCGCCGCCCATGCGTCTGGGACTTGGGACGGCTGGGAAAACGTCGGAAGGAGCCCCCCGAAACCCCTGAAGAGTGCTGAAACTGTGCTTTCAAGCAAGCGCCTTCTGCTACGGGCATTGCGGGGCGATCTCAGTCCTCGACACTTCTGCCAGGACCTTCAGGACTTTGCGCTGGCTCAGAAAAGCCTCGTGCGAAGCAGTGAGCTCATAGTTGGACACCGGGGTGTGCCGTTTCTTATGATCAGAACGATGACTCACAGGAGGCTCTTGTGATACTGTTGCAACAGTGGGGTCGGAAAACAGATGAAACCAGTCATGATGATGCTGATACACTCGGCTGTCCTTGCTAGCAGCTAGCAGTAGCAGTGGCAGTCATAACGAGCAGCTGAGCGGTTGAGGCATGGCTGCTCTTAGGTTGCGATCTCAAGCGTGAAGTAGAGGATGCAACGTCTCGGCCCTGTTGCTGAGGATGTGAACCGGCCTGCCACTCTTTCCACAAGACCTTTGGGGGGGCCCTGTGTGGACAAGCTCTAGGGTCAAATTGCCACAAGTGCTAACTGAATCTTGGACCCAAAAACGCCTGACCCTCGCTCGCCTCCGCTTTAGGATCAAGCGTCTGCAGTGTCTCCCTGCCCCAGGCAGGAACTGGAGAGGTGCTAAGCTTAGGGCCTAGGGGCACTACATGATGCTCCGACCCTCCTGGCTTCGGGCTTGTGGACTGGAGATTCTTAAGGTCAGCTTCAAGACGCCAGCGAGGCCAAGACGACCCGCTGGTGAAGCTCATGGCTCTGTAAGTTCCGATAGGAATACATAACCAGAAACCGGTAATCAGAGTTTCAGGAACTGTGAGCTCCACAACCCCGGTCCCCGGAATACCTTTACCTGCGACAACCCTGCACACAACCTGAATCAAAGCTTTCCCAAGACTGCCAACAGCCAAGGCTCCTAAAAGCGCAGGGCTGCCACCCAAGCAACGGCATTGAAGCAGAGACATCCAGAACTGCTCTTCGTGCTGTTCGGTCCCAGCCCTCGCGCCCAAATCCCACCAATGTCACCAATGCCTTCATCGTCGGTGCGTCTGCGTCAAGAAGCCTACGCCCAGGCCTAGCTTGCCGTAGTTGGGCCAGGCACTCGGTGTCGCCGCGGTAGTCGACGGAAGCTTGCCAGACGAAACCGCGCAGACTCTGCCAACCTAAACCCCACCAAACTTAAACTGCAAAAAGCCCAAACCCGCCACCACAGCAAGACTCGAACCCTCAACCCCCAAACCAGAACACTCAAGCCGAAAAGCCCAAACACGCAACCCCCGAAAACCAAGCAAACCCCAAACCTAGTAAAGCACCCGAAGCAGCTTGATCCCTCTGCCTCAACACAGCCGCGACGCGTCGGCCTTAAAGGGAGGGGGCGAAATGATCTCAGTTTTGGGGTGCAGGGTTTAAGCTTTGGGGTTTTTGTGCAAGACCTAACTTAGGCTGGCAAAATAACGGTTTTAGGGGCTTCGGCTCGATTCTATAGGGAGCCTCCATTCCTCCCGACCGTGAATGGATCTGCTGACCGGGGCGCTCGAAAGCAGCATCAGGAGCTGCCGGGGCTCGTCTCTGGAAAGGTTTGCACCTGTTGGCACTAAAACGAAGCTCCGCACGAACTTACTGAACCTACCTTCTGCAAGGCATTCTATGGAAGTTCAGTATGAACAACCCTACAAGTGTAGGTCTTTGGTGACAGGTAAAGCTTGAACCTCGACCCTTCTACAAGCAGGGTGTGGTAGGGTTCACGACGACCAGGCACAAATCTCCCAACAGCAAAATCTCCCGAAAAAAGCACAAGCCTGATGACCTGAACAGCTACAGTAGGGTTGGTTTGGTGGCAGATACTCATGCATGTATGACTAGAAGGAGCCATTATACCGTCTATACATGTCTCTCGACCCAGCCTCTGAAGGATTTCAGCATTTGTGCTTGGACGGATTCTGCAGACACTGCGGAACATGTCGAGAAAGCACTAAGTTCGCAGACTGCTTACCGACGGGAAGTTTTGCGCAGATACCGACTCTGGTCATGACGTCTGCACCACTCTTTGCAGAAATTTTACAGGTAGGATTTAGATGGCACCATAACCCACACAGGGACTCGGACTGTAAGAGCAACCGTACTGAAGAGGCCCTGGCACCCCGGGAGCTCCGAGGCGCCCGCTCTCCGGCGTCGACGGCTCGCTTGGCGCTTCTGTGCTCTCCTGAGGCCACGCGCTCTGTTTCGGAGCTGGTCTGGTGGAAATGGGGGTGGGGAGTAGTAGTAGTAGTAGTAGTAGTAGTAGTAGTAGTAGTAGTAGTAGTGGTAGGGCTCAGAAAACAGGCGACAGCGCCTGATTGCTGTAGCCCCAGGCCCCCATGCCATGGCCCTACGGGGAAGGGGGGTCGCTCAGAAGCCACGGCAGAGGAGTTCGCGGCTGGCTTCAAGAAGACGGTGGCTAGAGGCTCGTCGGGTGGCCATGTTCAACAGTGGTATGGAGGACATGCTCGCATGCCACACGGTAGAGGAGTTTGCGGTTAGTTTCAAGAAGACGCTGGCATTCCAGGCGTGCGTTTTCACGCAGAACAGGGGCTCGTCAACAGAGGGCATCTGGAACATCACGCAGATAGCTGGCATATGCTGCACTTCACCTGATGTGATGGCGTTCATGGGCGAACGTCATACGCTGTGCAATTTGGACATGTTGGACACTGGTATGGAGGACACGCTCGCATACCACACGATAGCGGAGTTTGCATCTGGCTTCAAGAAGACGCTGGCGTTCCGGAACAGAGGCTCGTCAACAGAGGGCATCTGGATCACCACGCGGAAAGCTGGCATATACTGCACTTCACCTGATGTGATGGCGCTCATGGGCGAGTGTCATACGCTGTGCAAGTTGGCCATGTTGAACACTGGTATGGAGGACACGCTCGCATACCACACGGTAGCGAGTATGCAGCTGGTTTCAAGAAGACGGTGGCCTTTGCAGGTGCGCATCATCAAGCAGAGCAGAGACTCGTCAGGCGAGGCATCCGCATCATGGTACTGAGAGCGGGCAACTCTGCAAGTCCTACGGTGATGGATTCTGCACAGGCGGCGAGGTGTCGGGTCTGACGACCTTGAGTCCACATCCTGACTTAGCAAGTGAGTGATATAACAGCGATGTTGCCTTTGAGTGTGGAGGTCCCACGGCTTCATGTTGCTGTTCAGTGAGCACTGTCGCTGATAGGGCAGTTGCTTTTGATGTCCGCAATATCACCTCGACGAAGGTGTTTTGACATCCTGGGTATGTTAACTGTGTAGGGATTGCCTCATCCGATACCCATGAGGAAGATCCTGCACGTCTTGGGTCCGTTGCCGATTCATTTAATTTGGATTGTACGTTGTCCAGTGCTTTGATGGCCGATTGCGGAATACAAAGCACGTAAGAAAGATGCGCCTGATTGGCCACCACCGTCTGATGCTTTGCTGGCCCATGGCGTAGCCCTTTTGGTTTTGAACGGGGATGTGCTCCACAGAGATGGCTTTTGCGCACAGCGCTGCCAGTTGAATCTTTGTGGTTCTTCCTCCGTTATGTGCGATCGCTCAGATTACTGCACCACGCGCTACTAAGTAGATCGTGAGCGCATACTGGGGATTTGCACATTCTAGAATTCATGTTCTTGCTAGGCGTGCGTCCCCTGGACCCTCAACGCTCCGAAGAAAGAAAGAAAGTAGTGGTAGCAGCATTACTAGGCCCCCCCCTACCAATCACCTCCTAAAAACGGTTTAAGAGCACATCCATTTTCTCGGTATTTAAGGGGTGGGGGCGGGCTATGATGACGGACTGTTTAGGAGCACATCCAATTTACTCGGTACTTGCAATACCGTCGTGATGTCGTAGTCCAAGATGCTGGTGGTTATGATGATGATGTTGTTGATGATGATGATGGGTTTGGGCGCCAGGTGCTTGGTAGGGGAGGTGGCGAGGAATAGTTGTAGCAGTTGCAGTTGCAGCACTTGTGTAGCAGTAGGTAGTCGTGGTAGAGTATGGGTTCGGGGATCGGGGGCTTGGAACTTCGAATCCAAGGCCCGCGCAGTGAGAGTTTTGCCAAAAGGTTCTCCGCAATCGTCCTGCACTCGAAAGCTTAGAGGCTTTGGGGTCGAGGCGGCTTAGGGATTCGAGTTTTGGGCTCCAGTCAGATATGATCTCCCCAGTTTTGCATTTATCACAGAATCAGAACACTCAGTGACAAGGGTAGCTAGTTTGATGAGAATCGTAATGATGACTTGATCTTGGCCCAGCTCTCTTCTCGAGCAGCGAGCACGAGGGGCGGCTTACAATCTGTCGTTTCTTGCCTGCTTAAAAACTCGTTGGTTTTGCACACAGGAACATACACGTTGAATCATTGAATCGGAGGATTGGTAACTTGCTTTTTCCAAGTATATATTTGTTGGCAACCTGTCGCTGTACACTAACCAGTTCTGTCTGGGTTCTCCGACCCCCATTTCCAGTCTCGAATGTGTTTGCGGATTTGAGTGTGTAGTCAGTTCTCAGAAAAAGAGCAGCTAGTTTGATACGCTTCTGCCGAACCAACTCAAAAGACAGTTGATTTCGTTGCTGTGGGACTTGTACTTGTTCAATTCGTCATCTGGCTTCCTCAATGCAACCCTGTTCGTGCTTGCTCGGTTCACATGAGTACTCGCTATTATCTCAGCAGAGGATCCTTCGAATCCTCTCACTTGAAATACATGCATGTACTTGCTTTTGCCTCGACTGCGTTTGATGAACAGTTTCAACACCATGCAGAAGTTTGAATCTGATGATGGCATCATACACGCACAATGTCCAGTGTGCTAGGCCCTGCAGAGCCTTCCAACGCTAGTGAGCTTATACCGAACTTTAAGTGCATCATGCAATTTATGCTTGATTTCATGTCTTATATCCATGGCCTCTGCCATTGATGTTCCAAATACTCTGCTTCGTTCACGAATTCTCAACTTGGTACCAGTATCATCAGCAAGTTTGACGACATTGTCACCGTTCATAACAGCGTACCGGCATTTATCCCTATTTCGACATAGCTCGATTTGAACCAACACTGCTTCTACTTCTCGTAACAAGTTCTTGATCGCTTGCATGCTAGTGAATGACTAGAAGTCACCTGCACGGAAAACTCTACACGTCGAAATCAACCCATCCAAACCTGGAACTCGCCGTAGGCTGGACGTCGTCTATGACTTGCATAACTGACACGAATAAGTAAGTAGACAAAGGGTATCCCGTATCCGTGGCGACTGACCCTTCTTTTTGTGTAGCAGATCTCCCATACTCATCTTTAACAAAAACGGGGCTTACTGTGACAGTACATTATGACATCAGTATGGCGCAACTGAATACCCAGCTGGTTAGAGGCTATCGCCACTCTGTTATGTTGCATTCTGCCGGAAGCCTTTGTTAAACTGATGCTTCGTCGTTCTGCAATATCTTGCATGCGTCCGGTCACACATATCGAATTTGAAGTACTGCACGCTGGGCGAAACCCATGCTGTGTTGCCGGCCTGACTGCTGACCATACTCGATTTGTCAGGTTTTCAAGGCCAACACTGCATGTGCTGATCTTGCTCTCCTCGTCATCATCTAAAAGATCTAGCCCGGCGCACGTCAGCGTGACGGCGCCGCTGTGCGACGCTGGTAGGCAAACACCTGTGGTTGGAAGCGTCGTCTCAGATCGGGATGAGTCTCGACTTCCTTTCCTCTCCAGCCTGTGGCGATGCCTCCCAACTTGTCGGCTTGTTGGGCTTTAGCTTGAGAAGCCTCCATACCTTGCGGGCACAGACTCAGCGGGCAAGAGAGGAGCAAATCAAGTCCGAGGATGCGGCCAAGGGTGAGGTTATTTCCGCACCTCGGCTGCTGCAGCGCTGCAGCGAGGCCAAGGTCAGCAAAGCGGCATGTCTTCAAGCACCCGGCCCCGATGAGACTCGAAAATTGCCGGCCATGTCCGCGTGAATGTCGAGGTCTTTCCTGGGTCTAAACAGGGGAGGGTAGGTCTAGAAGTCTAGGCGCCAAGGGGGCTTTGGAGGCTGCAGAGCTCAGGCCAAGGCTGGGCAGCCAAGGCAGAGGCCATGTTCTGTGCGTCTGTCTGTGCGCTGGACGTGGGACCCGGACCGACGTGGAACTCGAGCCGAGAGCCGCGCAACCGAAGCAATCGCCCAAGCGACTCGTTGAAATGAGCACGGACAAGCAATAATAACACACGCAAGAAAACCCAAAACAAAAGTCGCGAGAATGGCCACTACAGCAGCACCACCGTCATGAGGACAGCGATTGTCCAATCTGTCTCCCGAAATGTTCCGAGATTGCCTACCAACTTCGGCTCGGCATGACCCGACATCCAGATGCGGGATTGCCCAGACCCGGCACCTGCAATTGGCCGAAGCGCTGCGAGACGTCACTGGCGGCCTTGGGATAGCAGCGACATGCGATGTGGCTGCAGCAATTGTACTTAGAACACGAAACAGAAGTCTCGTGGTACACTACCGAGGACTGACACCATTGCGACGTTTTCGATACGTGCCTTTGAGCTCCCGGCCTCCCAGCCTGTGTCCTCCCGCGGCAGAGCGCGCTGAAGAAGCTGCAGCACCTCCCGGACCGTTGAGCTGCCAAACCCGAACTTCGTGCAGTGTACGAAGCGCGTACGGCTTGTGCGACCAAACTCTGGCATTCAGCCACTCTGGAGGTTTTTCTGTGAGAGCTTGGCAAGGCCTTGCACATTAAGCAACAGCAGCACCTACTGCTAGTTACTGCCTCCGCAACTACTATTAGTACTGGTACTGCTGGTACTGGTACTACTGGTACCACTACCACTACTACCACTACCACTACCACTACTACCACTACTACTACTACTACTACTACTACTACTACTACTACTACTACGACTACTGCTACTACTACTACTACTACTACTACTACTACTACTACTACTACTACTTCTACGACTACTACGAGTACTACGACTACTACGACTACTACGACTACGACGACTACGACTACTACGACTACTACGACTACTACGACGACTACGACGACTACGACGACTACGACTACGACGACTACGACTACGACTACTACTACGACTACGACTACGACTACGACTACGACTACGACTACGACTACTACTACTACTACTACTACTCCTACTCCTACTACTACTACTACTACTACTACTGCTACTACTGCCACTACCACTACCTACTGCTACTACTGCTGCTTCTACTACTATATACTACTACTACTACTACTACTACTACTACTACTACTACTACTACTACTACTACTACGACGACGACGACTGCTACTACTACTGCACCACTACGACTACGACAACTGCTGCTACTGCTACCACCCACACCACCACCACTGCTTATACGACTGCAGGAACTGCAGCACCCAGCGGCAGGAACCACCGTCACCAGCTGAATGACCAGTCCTACTACTACTGCCAATAGCACTACCTCGACTACCACTACCAATGCTGCTGCGACGGTTTGGTGTTCCTGACGAAGTGCAACACTGTTGCAAACAATCCGTTATCTTACCAACAGACCATGCCTGAACCCTGCTAACCCCCCCGCCCCACCTCCTGCTTGACAGCTGCCTCAACGTCCGGGCTGAGACCTGCGCTGGATCGCAGAGATGACAGTGTTCTGCAATCGGTGGAGAACCGTCCAGCATTGTCAACCGTTTTGATGCTTCGGTATTCCACTACTGCACGACTCCATTCCTCATTGATCCTGCCGTTCGGATATCACAGTTTTCAATTACTCGCTCGATCGGCTAAACCCGTCTCGATTGATCTTTGAGGCATCTGCTGTGTCATGGTCTTTCTGTCCTAATCCCCCCGCCGTTGTTCCTGCCGCCTTGGATCGAAGACTTCTGCGCAAGAGATAACACTTTTACTGAAGATGCGACCAAGACAGTCAGAACAACTTTTGCTTAAACAAAGCTCCTGATGATTCTAGACTCTAGACAGGCACAAGTAGCGGGAACCTACATGTACGAAGCAAGCAAAGTGCATAACACTTCCAACAACCAATATGGCACAGCTTAAACGAACCTGAAACTATCCTTTTCGTCCCTGTGTAATCTCCTTATCGTACATGGTCACCTTGCAGCACGCCTAGTACCCTTACAGCACCGTTGTAGCAGCCTCAAACCCTAAACCCGAAAATCATCTCTCGTAGCCCTAAACCCTTCCCTGACCTTTTGGTACAAGTAACAAGCCTACGGCCCTAGACCTCTTTTTGGGAGGCGCAAAGTCCGCACAGTCTGGGGACTTGGACTTGGGGCTCCCGCTGGGCGTGAGGCGACCGCAGAGCTTCGCGCTGCGCAGGGCCCGGTCCTCTTGGGAGTCCTGCGGCCAGGGCCGCCAGGGCTTCTAGGCCTCTTCTAGGCCTCTAGCTAGATTGCTAGATGCTTCCGGGGGGGTTTCTGAATCTGGGGCCCTTTACGCCTTTTTTTTTTTTTGATTTCTTATAAGAGGTTTGCGAGTTTGCTCTCCGGCTCTGCTCTGCTGTGCGGCCTGGGGTCTCGGCATGAAAAACTACGAAGCTTTGCGGTGCAGGGCGTAACCGGGCCTGGGATGTGGGGATTCGCACTTCGCGTCCAGCCGAAATCAAGAGCTGCCGTCTTGGGCTTCACATCCCCTGCCTTCGCCGAAAGAGCTCCTCAAGCACTGAACTCTGAACGTATCTCTCCATCTCTTCTTCACAGAACCAACCCCGATCGAAAGAGCTCTGGGCTCTTGCTGCTACGTCGGATATCACAAGTAAAGCCACATAGCAGCATAGCATGCTGAAGCAGCGATGTGTTGGGTCGCAGACAACGAAGAAGCGGCATCTTCAGGCGAGTAGGAGGATTCACGATTCGCGAGAGTACGCATGGGGCTGGCCTCCTCGGCACAGAGGTCCCCTTCCCCGAGATGTGGCCAACAGCCCTCAATGCCGTCGCCGTCGCCTGAAGGCACATACTCCTCAGAAGAAATCGGAAAGCAAAGCAATTCCAGTCACGTTTGCTTGTGGGCAGGCCCTTACAGGGCGGGAGGAGAAAGAGCAACGGCAAGAGCGGCTGAGAAAAAAGGATCACAGAGTGGCAAACAAAGACTAACATGATGGAAAGAACAAGCAAGAACGAGAGAAGGAAGCAGCTGGAAAAAGGCAGATGGAGGAGAACTTGATTCAAGGAACCTCCAATCCATGCGTTCATGCATGTTTGACTATGTCATTATACTCCGGATAAACTGACTACTAGTTTACATGCTGGTGTGTGTACATACACATATATACATATATTTATCTGTATGTATGTATGTATGTATGTATGTATGTATGTATAGTTATCATGCAGGGCTCAGAACACAGGCATTAGCGCCTGATAGCTGGCTGCCCCAGTGTCTGCGGACACGTTTCCGACGCCATTGTGGTGCCTTCGAGCCCGCCCTGGCATCGTCGATTGCGCGCCACCCGCTCTAAGGCGAGGCGTCGCACGGTTTCCCGGCTAAAGCTTGGCCTACCAGCCCGGCGCCGCGACCAGATTCGCCTTCTTCGGCACCACGCTACTTGTGATTCCTTCGCACACCGAATGGGTCGGCGAGGTCACCAGCAGGGATGGGAGAAGGGACAAGACTGGGATCGCGGCGACCACGGGCGATGGGGCGACAAGTCTTGGCACTACTGGCGTGGTGGAGCCTCGGTGTCGCCCAAGCACAAAGGCCAACCCCCACGCCGCGACCCGAAAGCCAAGAAGAAGGAAGGGTTCGCGTTTCCTTCCTTCGACGACCGGAAGCCGGAGGGATTGGCGATCGTGCCCATTTCGGAGGCTGCATCCTCGCGAGCCCCCTCCGGTCCGGTTTCACTTGTGAAGTCGGTGCAGAGCGCAGTGAATATGACTCGCAAGTTAGACTCCAAGGTTTCGAAGTTGCAGAAACAGTTCTCGGACCGGAATCTGCAATGGCATGCTTACCTGGAGGAAATGAAGATGACCTTGAAGGCCGAGAAGAAACGCTTCGCACAAGAGCAAGAGCGTACCGGTGCAGAGCTCAAGGATGCTTTGGCAGCGCAGGCCATCGCCTACCAACAGTTGCAGGGTGCTTCTGTTTCCGCACAGCAGAGTGGACCTGTGGACATGGAGACCATGGATACCGACGAGTGGGACGAGATCCTGGCATCGGCAGCAGCGGATTCGGATACGCCTGGTGCAGTGGATATGGGCAAGTTGGCCACTGCCCTTCGGAGTGCTGGCATCTCTGTGGAGATGCCGGCGGCGACGGTGCCGGCTACCCCACCTCGACGTGGCCCGCCGGTCCCACCTATGACACCCCAGGCTACGACCCGCACTTCGAACGCCCCGACTCAGCTGCCATCGTCGGCCACCCCGTCCCCGTTGCCGGCGGGCAAGGATCCATATATGGCTTCACCTGGGTTGGCGCACTTCGGTGTGGTTGGTCCCACCGTTCCGGGCCCTGGTGCAGCAGGTGGCCAGTTGGCTCCGCCAGGGCTGCCTGGGCCAGCTGCGTCACAAGGTCCCGCCACGGAGCAGGATCTGGGTGCAACCCAGCTGGCAGACAGGTTGTCAGAGAAGCGGCGTGCAACGCGAGCCGCCATGGCGCCGTTTGGGGTTGTACGTCCCCAGGCTCCCAAAGGTGCGGATGGCGCTGCTGGTGCAAAGATCTCAGCCGGACCGGAAGCCCTTGGGCCGTCGAAGTTTGTCGAGGACGACGATTCAGGTGCGGAGGAGCTGAGATCGGCGTCACCAGGTTTGGGACGAATGGAGTAACATCGCATCTCGGATCCGGCCCCCTGCTCCCTTGCGATCCTGGAATATGTACATGTGCTGGCTATCATCTTTTCCACGTGGTCAGGCTTTGTACCTTTACTTTGGATGCTGGGGAGGCCCCTTGCCTCGACGGATTGATTGTTCCTCAGTTTGCTGTGGGCCTCCTGGTGAGCTCTAGCCTTGAGAGTGCTCTGGTGCATTCCTCGGCTCAATTGCTCGTCGGGTTGTGCCTGCAGCGAGCTAGGAGCACTCAGGTCCTGCTGAATGTGAGGATGAGCGCCTTAGTTTGCT